CAAAACGATAGTTGTCCGAAAGATCCTTGAAATGTAGCATATGAAGGTTCGTACAGTTATAACCTTGGAAATTTGATGTTTACTTGTAAAGGAATTTTAACAGTGCAAAATTATGGTCCTCAAAAATAATTGAGTTGTTGGAGTGTTACTGTTAGTGATCATTCCATCAAACAAATTTGTTTTCAAAACATACGGTATTTCAAATGCGTGTGCACTAGTATCACCATGCGTGTAAAATTTTATGAAGAAAACATGGGACATCCGGACATGATCACATTATGTGGTTATTTTCTTTTTTATGCACTTTGACACTGGAGGGTGGGGGTTGCTTGGCTCAACATTTCCTGCTTGTAATATGTATAGACAAGGCCAAAAAAACTGCTGCCGCATCAGATGTACATGTAAACAAACAGGGTTTTTCGACATTTAAATATTACATGCAAATGTATGGATGTCTTGTGAGCAAGACCTTTGGAACAAGAAATTCATCTAAGACAATCAAATTTTTGGCGAAGTCATTCTGAATGTGCACCTTTAAAGCAGGTCCATCCAGATGCAAATATTACATGTAAATGTGACAAACGTCTGTTGCTCTTGACTTTAACCCGCATATTTCTTCTTTATTTAAACATTGGATTATTAATGGCAATTGAAATATGCAGGGTGCCTTAGCATGCTCATAAAATCTGCTCGGGAATAAGCACTCCTTCAATTTTTAATTTTTTTTTTCTTCATTTTTTGGTTTGTTTGTTCCTCTATCAATTTTTTTTGCTGGTATGAAAAAACCTGTAGAGAGTGTGTTGTTTAAGAACACATTGGCAATTTATATTCAACTCGGGCTATAAAGTGTACTGGCTTGGATCGTGTCTTTGCATGCCCTTGTATCAGAACCATGCAAATTATTGATTGTGGTTTGCAGAGAGCATTGGAGATCTGGTTATAAAATGCTGATTACAAAATGTGGGATATTGTCCAATTTTGGATTTAAAATACACTGTATTTGTATTGGTTGTACATGGCTTATAAATGCACATGTACGGTACATGTAAGGGTCAGTTTAATGAACATGTACTATGCTTGGATGATATTCCTATAATACCATACAGTGATAATATTTTTTTATATTGAACGATATCGAATGATGTTGCTTAAATACCGAAATAATTGAAAAACTCAGTATGGAAGTTCATAACCGCTGTACTCCCTTTAATTTGTGGCCAGATGTGCACAAAATCCCTTTAATGAAAGCAGAAAAGATCTGAACTGTATGAATGATTATTTATTTAAATTCTTTGTTGTCCCATGCTTGCGGTTTTCATGTGTATTGTTTTATTTTGAGGACATAATAGCCCGCCCAAAAAAAAGAGCTGGTAATACCAAAATATGGCGGTATTTTTGTGTGTGATTATTTCACATGGACGCTCAAATCCCATAGCCCACAAGCCTAGCAAGCATATGCTTAGTACCACAACTTGGGAACAAATGATATTGTGCAGCGGAGCCCATGAAATCGTGGTCGTAAAACAAGAATATGTTTTTTCAAAATGCTGGCAGACTTGCAGGCTGCACCCTTGGAGCCAAGATAATACGATTATTACAGAAGCGCAGGTACTGTGAATCGGTCCTCTAATGTTCATGTCTGCTGATTGCCCGTTAACTTGCAAGCTGTTGAAAAGTAGGTATGCTTTCTCTACTAATGCACATGAATGTATGAACACAGTCTGTATTTGTCCACAAAAAAATGACTAAAAACATGCATGCTGTTTGATTTGTAAAGATAATCCATCGCACAAGTGTTCCGGTACATATAATTGTTTTTAGGGCGGGGTGTTTACCATTTTACTAATTGTTATGGCATAGATGTTGCTCACAGTTTGATTCATTAGCAGGGTTTATAAGACTAATAGCTGATAACACTTCTTTTTTTTAATGTTTTGGCTGTTATAAGTATTTATTTCTTATTCATTGATTAATTTTTCTTTTGAAAAGGGAGGGGGTGGTTGCTGCGTGTTTTCTGTATAATTGAATGGTCCAAGAACACCAAAAAAATCACAAATAATCACAAATAATCTAGTGGGAGGGTGCGTAAATTCACAAAGATTTTCCGTACTCTGACAGGTACATGCACATGACAGTCTGGTTCTTTTTGTCTCATTCCTCCCCCCCCCCACCCATTCTCTTTGTCTGGGGTGTAGGCATTTGATCCAAAACCACAACTGCTGTCATTGTAATATGACCTGGTTCTTGTGAATTCCTTAAAGGGGTAAGACAGGCATTGTTCTAGAGTTGTTGATTTGGGGGAGGGGGATCTCATTTTAAGAATTTGGCTGAATTTTTTTAATGTTTTTGGAAATATATTTCAGGCAGTTGGTAAGATCCGGCGATAACAGACTCAATGTATTACTGTACATTTGATGCATGGCATATGTTTAGCTTTGTGGTTGCATGAATGCTTGTAAGTTCAGTATCAAATGGCCAAAATAATGCAAGCAAAAAGAAGAGGGGAACAAAGAGGGAACAGTGAATGAAGTAATGTCTGTATCCATGAATACGCCCGTCAGAATAATAGGAAAGCTTTCATATGTGAGAACGTACGGCAGGCACATTTACATGTAAATTTATGTACACATATGGTACATATGCAAAGATTCACAGAAAGAATTACAGGCATCTGAAGATCAAAAGATTTACTTGCTAAAAAAATTTGGCACATGTAGGAGGCCTGGTCAGAATAATTTCAGACTTTATGAACCACATACATTACAAGACCTCTTACAAGAAATTCCCCTTTGTGTTGAATGCTAAAATTCATATAAAACTTAAAAGCTTTCCTAAAAGGGAAAAATGTTGCAACCCGACGCTGCTTTTTTTCTGCATATATCATCTCAATGAAGGCCAGTCATTGCATAAATGATGATAAGACATGAATGTGGGACTGAGAAACATTTCCAATTTTGTAAGGAAATACTCAGGAAATTTTTTGACTCTCCATAGACTTTGTACACAACCACTGAAGTGGCGTCAGGTTGCAACATTCTTTCCCCTAAAAGTTGCCTTTGTACAGTATGTATTACAGTAAGTCATTAAACCATATCATCTTTGGAGACCATACTTAATCAAAGCCATTTTTACCAGGACTAATGTACATGTACCTGATCCTGATGTGCCCCTTTAAGTCCCTGTCCCCCCCCCCCCTTTCTTGAGCTCCATGGCACGTGCCAGCCAGGTGCTAGGAGTGTGCCTTGAGCAGAGGAGGTCTCCCAAGGTCACCGTGCTGTGCTATTCATCAACAGTGCACTGCGCTCAGGAGCCAACTCAGGGGCACCAGCTAACAGGGGCACCCGTCTAGCTCCCTGTGTTTATCAATATCTGGACAGTTATTTATGACACACAGCGTGTGCGGTTGACAAGAATACCCCACCATAAGATGATAGCTACAAGGGCTGTACGTGCTTTGAAGTTCAGTTACTATACAAGTTACAAGATGTGTAGTAGCTGGCAGGGTTGATTGTGGATGACAGGGGTGGATCGGGGGAAATATGGCAGTGTCTGATACAGGCCTTCAGAGTTATGCATGTATGTACATGTGTCACGCGCAATGTGGGAACCTGGGTAAATTCAGAATTGGTGCAAGCATGGAGGCTCCATGGTGCAAGGGGATGTTGTCTGTTGCTCTACATGATATTCCTCCAGAGTTTAAAAAGTAGTAATTCCCGAATGATTCCCAAAATAATTTTGTGGGTTAGGTGGGAACAAAAAAAAAAGGAATAAAGCTGATGAATATTTAAATACCTCTCTCTAGCAGTGAAAGGTTCACAGGTGATTTTATGAAGAGTTATTGATGTTAATAGTTGATAAGGACAACATTCCCACTTTGCTGCGCATCGTTGGAATTCCCACTTAAATTACCCATTGTGCGTGATATCAGCATTTTCCCCATAGTGTCACAATTGTCCAAGACCTAGAAGAATCGTAGATCATGGCAATATCTTTCTTGGGAAGTTTTGCAGAAGGATTGTAGTTTTTTCCTGTTTATAGGCAATGCAGATTTTTGTATTTATTTCCAGATGAATTTGATATTTTTTTTCAAGCAAATGTGATTCACTTGGGAGAGTATGAAAACAGAACATTTTTGTCTTGTTTTGGGTATAAACAAAAGCTGTTGCATTTCTGCAGAAGTTTAACATCACAAGTTCTGTGCATGGATAAAAATGTTTACATGTCAGTTTCATCTTGTTTGTCAACAGTTTATATCACCCATGGATTCTAATAAAAATGAGAATGCTACATACTTTGTGAGGGTTGCTCGAATTTTGGCAGCAACAGTTATTTTTCTCAGTATGTAGTTCCCCTATTTTCAATGGAAATGTACTGTGCATGTACTTCTACAACAAAGTACATGGTGATGTCATGGACACAAGTGCGTTTCTGTATAGACTTCGTGAACAAGTACTCCCTCAACGGTTAAAAAGGGAGAGTTGGGGGAGACCACTGGGAGGGACATTGTAACACATTGCCAACGGCGCCTGACGCTCACGCAAAGACTGATACGGGTTTGTGCAGACTCCAAATATAATTAGTTGTGCGTATTTTTTCCACACATCCACAAACAGACACTCTTGTTTTACTATACTCTCAAGGACAATGCCTTGTGTTTCCCTTTCTCCCTGTAATATAAACCTCTCCCATAGACTAAGCACACGAACTTACTACAGAGGACCGTTTCCAACAAAAGACCCAACTCCCGAGGACTGAAAGGATCTGTTGTTCTCCCTTTGTGTGTTGGTCCTCGGGGTTATCACGCAGTGTGTGCTCTACCAACTGAGCTATCCAGCCCTACGTTGGGGTTCCCCAATTTGTCAATATCTTAATTCAAGGGCGCTAGTCAGAAACCTATTATCCTTTAATTTTTTTAACATGGCAGTGATGAATTTGTTTCATTGTAAAAATCACAAAAGCTATCAACAAGTTTTTGATTTTTTTTTCTCCAAATATTGCAGGTGCTCCCTCCCATGGTGCCAAGCCGCCTCCCCTCACCGTAGTCACCAGCAGCGGCAGTAAGGCCACGCGCACCACCGCCACAGTCAACCCACTCAACCAGTCGGCCAGCACGGTGACGGTTACCAGTGCCAATAGTACCAACCATGCCATGGCGGCCACGCGGACCTCCAGCTTCGCCGCTGCACTGCGGAAGCTGGCCAAGCACGCCAACGACAACGGTAGGTTGCATGTCTCAGCCCAAAATCTATTCAGTGACGATGACGCCATTTTGGGAACATAAAGTGACTCTTCTGTTTACTCTTTTCAGAAAAAAGGTAGCAAATTGATAGGATAATTTAGGCATGACCCATTCGCAGGATAAACAGTTTGTTGCCACACACAAACGTACCATGGCAGTGGTAATTTCAAAAAAATCATTGTTTGCTCACAGATGTCTACTTTGCTTTGATATTTTAAGCTCTTTTTATTTTGTGATCAATATCAGTTGGCCAAGCACAACCTGATTATGTACGGTTTGTGGTTAAACTTGACCTATTGAAATTTGACCTTTGACCCACAGGTCCCGAGGAGCACTCCCCGCGGGTCTCCCCCGTCAGCATGAACCGCAGCACGGCCTCCACGCCGTCCACCAAGAACTTTCACTTTGGGCCCTCGCCACTGGTGGTGCCCACTAGCACCCCTCCCGTGGTCACCATAGCCCCCACCCACACCAACAACTCCAGTATCATATCGGAGCAGAGAAGGGTAAGCAGACATGGAGAGACTAGAATGGACTCCCTGCGCAAGGACCCCCCCCCCCCCCCTCGCCTAATTTCAAAGAGAGAGTTGGGAGGTCTTAAATGCATTGCTGCCATATACCTGGCACCTACGCAAAGATGATACGTGGTTGTGCACTTTCAGAAAAAAATAAAATAATGATGCATACTTTGCACCATACGGGCATGAACCGGTGAGCGTGCTGACGCAACGTATCTTCCCGATGTAAAGCTTCCCTCGAAGATTCTGCACCGTTTAGAAATACCTGATTAATTGAACCAAAACCGGTGTAACATGTACAAGGTTTTTATTTCAAAATTGGAATTAACTGAAACGATTTTCAAAAGTGAGAGTGCAGAGCACAAACATTTTTTTCCAAGCCAAAATGACCTTAAATTTTGGGTGGGTACTATGCATACACTACCGGTATGTATCAGTTCCATCAAGTTCTGTCGTTATTTTTTTCTCATGGGGATCTAAAATCAAGGAGGGACAAAACTGATGAATTTTAATTAGTTTTGGGCCTGCATATGTGCCCCCTAGTCGCTTATGATAAAAAAGGTCTTTTCAACACATCCAGAAATTAAATATCTATTTACTAATGCACTTAACTGCTGTTTATAAGACTGGTATAATTTTACATACTGAGTCGGCGCATGCAGCTGCTTTATTGGCGAAGATTAGCATTTCTTTAAATGCTGCAGATGTCGATTGTTTTTATGATCCCAGCCTAAGCCTGTATTTGGATTCCACTCGGAATAATATTAATTTGACGACTGTCTGTGCACTAAAAATAATTTAAGGAACAAGCGCAGGGGGTTGTATAATGTACGTGTATGCGTGCAGCTGTGGCCATCACGGTTCGCTGGATGCCAGTGATGTGGCGCCAGTGTAATCCCATGCCAGATTTCACCTGGCTTAGATCTGGTAAGCGTGAACGTATTACGCTTAGCAGAAACAAGGTTACCGGCCACAATGTCACATGATGCACATTGCTAAACTGGTTCCCATCTTGTTTTTTTTTTGCTTGGCCCTAAATTTGCTAAGCTTTGTTTCTGTTTAGTAGCTCAATGAGTTTGTCTGCTAGCTACAGAATGCTGCGCTTGCGATCACCATCCTGTGCCTAAAGCACTAGCAGAGAAAATTCTGTGACTGCTAACCCCGGCAAACACAGAATCCTTAGTTACAGGATGTATACGCATGCGCTCCAGCCAACATTCCATGCTAACCCAGCGTGGATTTTTCTGCTTATGGTAAGCAGAGTCGTGAAATCGGGCTTAGATTTTATGCCTAAATGCCGTTGGCAATGCCAACTTTGAGGGGATTTTTTTGGGTCGGTTTAGAGGCCGTCGGTTGGTGCAGGTTGCCACTTGTTCTAACTTGTTTAAAACTTGGTGAGAGATTAAGACAGCACAGAAACACGGCACACACTAAGGTTGTACAAATGTGCGTGTTTAGGGCCAGCAGCCTGTGTGTCTCAAAACACAGAACTGCAACCTCTCAATCACATATCTGGCAGGAAAGCCTAACTGATTGTACCAGGTGCTATGCACCCCGCAGTTGTTCAAAATATATCCCTCGTCACAGCAGTCAACAATTAAGGAATGAAAGAGTGGAGCCAGGAAATAGATTGTTCATGACCATTTCTTGTTCTTGTTTGGTTTGTATCGTCAGTTATCCCAAGAGTTGGACCGGCATGGCCATCACAACTCCTCGGAACAGCACAACAGCAGCAGACACTCCACAGAGTCGGGCAACGTGCAAAACTCTATATGGAGATCAAAGGGGAGTCCAGGTGCCGGACCTAGAAGGTACTAGAAGGTGTTTTTTTTTTATCCGTTAAGCCACATCTGAATTACTTGGCTACGGATTGCCATTACACACATCTGTGGGAAGCCGTCTGTAATTTGGACGCGGCCTCACGGTCTCAATATCTTACTCAGCTGTAGAGTCAGAGAACGATGAGTTGTCATCGTCCTCATGACCTCTGAGGGCAACTGAATTTCAATATTTGCATGCACACCAGTAGGCACCACATTCCATGTATATGCATCCTTGAGAACTGAACCAGTCTAAAGTCCCCTTTCCATATGCGCGTTTTAAAAAAATTTGTTAGGCATACGTTGCATATGCTTTGCGTATCCGTCAAAATTGTTCCATGGAGCAATTCTGACGGTTGATCAAAATGGACACGCAACGTATGCCCACATATGAAAAGAGACGTGTGCTACATTATGAGATCGATTTTTTGTATCCATAATAATGAAATGCATACGCAACGTATAGGTGACGGAGACAAAAAATCACGCTTATGGAAAGGCAGCTTAGCTCCTAAGGTAGAATATTTAGACACATAACAACCGAACCATATCAGAAGCTGTAAGGGCGTCGCCTGTCTTTATATTCCTTAATGATGTCAGAGCTCCAGTCAACATAAAATTGATTTTGCCTTTCATTTAAGATGACCCTGTGTCCAACCAGTACAAATTGGGGTGCGCTGTTCTGTCAACCAGTGATAACAGTGTAAAAGGTCAATTCATACACCGCCCGAAAGCAAACACGAATTTGTGCCATTATAACAAACGTTGCAGATTTGCAGAATTTGACCACATTTCGTCTGTGGTGAATTTTGCCATGAATATTTTATGACGTCAAAGTTGCTTTGCACTCGCATTCTCTTGTAGTATGAAACAGCCTTAAGCCTGTCTAGATTTGGCGAGGAAAAACAAAAAAGCAAACATTGGCTCAACTATGACAACAGGAAACATTCCATTTTAACAGTGTGGCCCGCTACCGAGAGAGCAAAAACCATGGCAACCAGACAGCTGACTTTTATGTCATACGTCGGGTGATAATGCCTTTCTGAAAGCCATGCTCGAACAAGACTCATTAGCTAACTCGGGGTTGATTAAAGATATACCCTGCATCTGGGCACTTACATTAAAGCGGGATTAATCATGGATCAAACTACAGTTGAATATATATCATTGTGAAACTTTCTCAGTCCTGTGGTGCCTTCCAGTGTACGCAAACGTATTTAGTTTGCGCAAAAAAAATGCAAAAGTTCGTTAGCTTGGCCCTGCAAACGTACCACACCAAATGGAACTATATTGTCCTTGGAAAAACTGGTGTCAAACGGTGGATTCTTGTACGCCAATGCTACAAGTGTTACTTTTTGGTAAGCAGTTTGTAAAATCCTCAAAAAATTATTTGTAACTCGAAGTGAAATGTTGCCAGTGTCACTATATGAACTTTACTGCAGATGTAGCAAAACAGGGAATTTCAATATAGTGACGGGATCATTACGTTCATTGTGTGTGCTGATCGTTGGTGGCAAGCATTCAGTTACACTTGGCCAAACTACGTTAGCATCGTTCACGTAATTGGAACGCACCCTAGGCTCCCAGCTGTACATTTTAATAACAGGTTGCTGTTGAACCCCAGCGAACGGCGACAACCTGAGATTGGCATTTGACGAAAGACTTTTTTTCAAAAGCGTGGCTTTCTTCCAGCTTTAGCCTATTATCTAGCTTTAGAGTCATTCAACGTCCAAACCAAAGAGAAATACTTTTAACTTTGCCCCCATATCTTATACGTTTGATTTTTCTGAATTAGACCGTGGACCCATAATGAGACGCCTTCCTCCCCCCCCCCCAAGTCAGGAGTCTTAATTCTCCTCAACCCCCACATGGCACGATGAATCCTGCTCAGTAAACCCGACCCTGTCTGTCAATCAAACATTGCACATTGGCCAATTAGATCAGGACTTTTGACCAGGTAGCTCGGTCTAACTGCGAGGAATGTACACCAACCAGAGGTAGGCCAGGCTTATGCCCAAATTCAGAACGGTCCATGTAACTGACTTCTGTTTTCCTTGTCACCTATCAACAGGCCCGTGCCCCAACACCTTAAGCCAGAAGAGAGCAACCCTGTCCGAGGGTTCCAGCCGTACCGCTCGGGGGAGACGGAGATGACACCCCGGCCACCAGCGCCAGCTCCGCCCCCTCCTCCGCCTCCTCCTCCATCCCACTTGACCTACGACCCAGCCATGATGGCCGCCGCTCTTTCACCGTATCCATTCCACCAGGCCTTCATGGGGCCACCGCATATACCCTACCATGGTTTCAGGTAGGTGTATGCAGATATAAACACTGCTGATCTCTTTTTATCCACTCTTTCCTTATTTAATTAGATCGACCAACCCTGCTATGGACCCTAGGGCCTTTCACCCCTGCCCTTTTGGATTCAGGATATGGCTATGTCCGACTCACTTGGCTACACCCAGCAGTAGTACACATGTCTATGGGAAGTGGCTTAGCCACTTCCATAGACGCATGTGCAGCTGCTAGCCATAGTCAAGTAATTCGGACGCAGACAATCTTGTTAAATATAATTATTATGAAGAATTTGTACATACTAATTCACTTCTCGCAGTGTAAAGAAAAATATGAGTTGTGTTGTAAACATATAATTTCTACAGCACCTGAATGTATCATCTGATTTATCTGATCGGTGGGTTGTTGATCACGTCTCATTTAATTATTCGTCCCAACGCACAGCGTGGCCGCATTGCGCGGCCACACGGCAAAAAAAAAAGAAGTTCCATTGCACGGTCACACTTTTGGCGGCTCTGACCAAGCAGATGACGAGGATTTGTTCAGGTGTTGTATAAAACAAATAATGAAGATTTCACATTCGTGCAATGGAAAGAATAATTTCATTCGGTGACAGACGAATGTTCCATTCTACTCGGCTTAGCCTCATGGAATGGAACATTCCATCTGTCCATCTGTCACCGAATGAACTTATTCTTACCGTTGCACTCACAAACATTCATTATTTGTAATATTATCCCCGTACTCATCTGTAAACAAAGATTTAATCGTGTTGAACTTGCAACATCGATGTAGTAGATTTAAGACATTTCAAGAGTCTGTGAGAAGAAATTCAAAGGCTGGTTTGATTTCACCCAATGACTCAGATGCAAAGGATCCCCTACATTGGAAAGGCAAACCCTTGATTTATTTTAGCGACAACCATTTTCTGCGGTGGCACCAGGCTCGCGCTCAGATAATAACGGACGCACTCTGGGCTCATTCAACCAATAGGGCTACCAAGATGCGTGTCTTGTCTTTAAAAACGTGTGCAGCGTGTGCTCGAGCGTGGCATCACTTCAAAAATTGCTTCTAATTTTGTTTGGTGAATTATACAATATGAATGACAAATATACTCGTCTTGAGGTCCTGCCAAACCCACAAATTGTCACAAATCCTCTAGCAGTGTACCCCTGTTGGCTTTAGACGACAAGGATGCCTATAAATGAAGCTTCCCATCTCCTCCTCCAAAAAGAACAGAGACAAAGCATAAAATTGCCCTATGCATTACATGTACATGTAAGATTGTCATTAAACAGAATGCGACATTTGTCTACTCACTTGCTAAAAAAAATCACATGACTGAATGCCCTCCTCCCATTGGTCCATGCCCTGCCTGGGTCATCTCGAGAGCCGCAGTGGCACGTTGCGCAAATTCTTAAGATTGTAATTGTTCTACCTTGGAAATCCACTCAGACGGCATTGTGTTCCCCCCTGGTAATTCAATTGTTCCTTGGTATTTCTCTTAGACCTAAGTGCACTCCCTTTATTCTTATTACGTCGCTTCCGCTCTGTGTTATTCTCACAAGGGTACCGTACGTTGTTGCAGGCTTTCTGTCACTGACAAAAAAAAAGTCAAATAATCAAGGGGGGGGGGGTTTAGTTTGATTGTGTTTGGTCTATGCAAATTGGAATCTGAAGTATATTTGTTCGATCCTTTTGGGGTTGTTTTGTTTAATACATGCAGGTGCTGAGATCCCAGAGATATGACTAATGCTTTAATAGGGCTCGGGCCAGAAGATTTTATTGTGTTTTTAATTGTTGTTTTTTTCCCCTTGAAATTTATTCCCTTCCAGTGTTGAATAAAACAAAATTGCTTCCTCTTTGTAGAAAATCACAGCTGTATGAACTGTGTGGTGACTTGTACAAAAAATTTATTTTTTGGTTCTTGGTCACTAGATAATTACATGTATACTGTGAACTCAAAACTTCATTGTTAGGTAATTTATCACAGATTCAACAATTCACCTTCAAAATTCTTAGAAAGTTTTATTTTCCCGTCCAAAATATTTGTATTTGTAAGTTGTAACGTGTCACCACAAAAATGAGCATACAGTCGCAAATAGCCATTTTACAGTACAGTGGGAAAAGCAAAAATTTGATGATTTTTTTTTTAATAACCTGTAAATCATGTTCTCCAATTCTTTTGTTCCATCAAAACAGCTCTAAAACTTTTTTTCTTCCGAATTTGTTACTCGATTGTTCATCCACTGTACAACATCGGGATTTTTAAATGCCATTTTCTCCAAAATTATTTTTACAACTTCAATTTAGTTGGAAGTCTATATTTTCGTTACTGAACTCAGTTCCCCAAAGTTGTATACAAGTTGAAAGCTCTTGTTCTTCAGAATCTAGAAATGAAAATGTTCTTAAAAAAACCCAAAACGTTTTTGCCCCATTCAGACTAATACTAGTTTTGTAATACATAATGAGGTATAATACTCAGTAGAATACATCTACTTTTATTTTTAGCAGTTTTCAACATATCAGAGATCAAAGAATTTGATTTAAGTAGACGGCTAGCAGAAAATGACAGTACGTATCCAGGAGCCCAACTTGAAGATCGCACCTTTGCTGCCTTGTAGCCATTCCTCTTTAAAACCTCCGGGGCGTCTGGCACATTAGAGCGTGTTTCCTCGCGTCTCCGCAGCTGAAATTTCAGCAAGAATAATAACGCAGAAATCAGACCATCTCTCTTCTCTTTTTAACCATCCCGGCATTAAATAGTGCAGCCCAGATATATATATATATGCCGGGATGTGCTGGGGGCATGGTAGCGCCATGGCAGCCACGTGTAATGGAGTCCGTAATGGGATTATTCACATCATCTCGCCAAAACGATGCCCAAGGTTGAAAACGAAATTGGTTGAAACGTGAAAAAGCTGTTACCTGAGTAGCAGGACGGCATGTGTGTGTGTTTTCAGTTTTTGATATTTTTTTCCCTTCAATTTCTTTATTTCTCCTCTCCTAGGTGAATTACATGAAAATGAACTTTTGGTAATTGAAACTGACTGATACTTAGGGCTGATCCAAATAATTTGTTAGCCTTATTTTTAGTTTTCTTTTGTAATTAATAAAATGCCTTTTTTTCTTCTAAAGAAGCAAATTTATTCAAAAACATATATCAGTTCATCCAGTAGTAATTTATACATTTAGGGTCCAAAGTCTGTCCATATTATCTGTGAAATTTCTAATTTGCCATTCAAGTAAAATTAAAAATGACCTCCCGCTATTTTTTATTTGTTGGGTAGATAGTTTACTATTTATGATCACTCTTGAAAACTGATTGCATTAAGGAGTACATCCTAAATTCATGAATAACAAATGTAAACGTTGTAATGTAACAGGGTCTGGAAAAAAGTGGCGCCAAAATTTATAGAAATATCTAGTTCAAACTTGTGAGAATGGTTTCAATTTGTTCAGTCGTCAGTATAGCGTTAAATATATATATATATTTTTAAATCTTACTTCCAATTTGGCAACTGAATTGTTTGTTTTTAAATGAAGAAATATCTGTACCTATAAGATGTGTACATGTATGTGGGTGGATGTCTTAAAATTTGTAATTTTTTTTTTTTTTCAGTCCAAAAGAAAAAAGATTATGATGTTGTCAGATAGCATCTGTATAATAGAAAGAAAATCTGACAAACTAACAACATTTCAGTTATTCCCCAGTGCATGAATTTTCAGTGTTCCGTTGAAGAAACAGCGCTTTCCATTTCCATTGCAGCCACCTGCGTAATCAATAAGATTCCATCAGCCAGTTCACGCGCCGCGGCTGGGCCGCACGGCACAAGCATAACAATTTGAGGCCCCTTAATAAACAGATCACCGCCTGCATATCTGCATCCCCTTCCCCCCCCCCCCTCCCCCCCTACCTGAGCTGACTGTCTACGACACACAAGCACGCGCGCTGTTATTTTTCGGATGAGGGGAGTCATTAATAAGCTTGTGAAATGAGATGTGTGTACAGCAGAGAGATAGAATAGGAAAGTACAGCTACTTTTTTTTTTACCTTCCATTTTGAAAAAAAATTCTGCTTGTGGTATCGCGGTACTTGTGTAATGCAGTCTGTAATGAAACCAGTCATCTATGCTAAAAATAGTGGTGCTGTGTTTGAAATTGCTTGACAGTGCACATGAATTATTATATTCCAGTAGGATTATGAATTTATTGTTAAATTTTGAGTTGGCACTTTTTTAGTATGTAAGGGGGAAATAGCCTTCCTAATTGATAAAAATTTGTTAGTTACAATTAACATGCATAAAACAGTCAGAAAATGTATTAACGCCAGACCATGACGACACCAGAAAGGATACAGTGATGTGATTATTGTAACACCGACAAGATGTATAAAACTCCCTATTTAAATATTGATCTTGTTTGGCTGTGTCCATTCCGGAGGGAGGGGAAATCCGGCCTCCGATGGGAGATAAAACAGCATTTCATCAGGAGATTATGAAGGGGTGAGGTTGCGCGTGTATAATTGATCCGCGCGGCTGATGTTCAGTAAAGCCATCACGCATAAACACACCCGAGCCGCTCACTGTAATAACTGCATCACGCCTGAGCGCATCCAGTAGGCCTAGATGATGCATGGTGCCGTCGCTCGCAGGCAGATGTGCGGCGGACAGGCGGCTGTTCTGAATCCCGGGGGAAGGTGTGACCCTTTTTTTTTTTAATGGTTTCTATGTTTATCTATTTCCTTTTGCTCTCTCAATCGTGAGGTACAGTTACGTTGCGATTTAGACAGCTGTCGCCCCCGTGTGACATGCAGTGCAGCGGTTGTTCAGGCAATGGGAAGCTAAAGCGCCCCGCTTGCCTGTCTGCCTGACAGAGAAATTATTGCTCAGATCGGCATTAGCTTTCAGTAATAATACACAGCGTGCCAGTGGCGTAGTGTGTAATTGCGTGTTTGTTTATTTTTAACCCGGCTCTTTTCACGGCAAAATGCTGATGTTTGGAGAGATACATCATAAAGAATGACAACAGATTTTGAGTCAAAGAAAAGAGGAAAAGAAGGGGTTAGAATCTCTTTATGCCAGTGAGAATATTTGTAGTGATGACTGTTGGATACTGTCTGTCAGAGTATTAAGTTTCACGATCAAAGACATTTTCCAATAAATTGTTTTCGTACAGTCAATTTACCCAAATAATTCAAAAGTGCATTTCCTGTCACGCAGTGTATCCCCTAATAGGCAAAATGCTATCATATTTCAGAATGTTATTTTTTTGGATGCAGATTTCACAGAATTTATATATCAGACCTCATGTGTACTTTTTTGTTGTTGTTTACTTCACAATTTGAAAAATATTGATTATCATTTAAGGTAAAAAAAATTCAAACACACTTCTCTGGTGTGGCAGTTGGTCGGTCGGGTTTGTTGTTTGTTTGTTTTTAAACATATTCAGGAAAAAATAAACAGAGACAATCCTGTCTCATGTACATGTGCATGTGCAACCTAGACCGCACCACTCCGGATGAAGTCAATTTTGATCATGTATGTTACACGTATCCATGGTTACCGGGGGCCTTTGTCAGGTTGTTGATGACATTGCCGCGTGATTGGTCTGCCTGTAATTAGTTGTAATTTTTCTAGGGACATGTATGATCACTGTTCCATTTCAGTCACCCGCTGATGTTAATAACAATGTAATAGGCCAACATTTGCAATGCATGTTATTTTGTTTCACAAACACAAGTGCACTATGCGGACTAGTCTTGATTTGTTTTCTTTACATTGTCATTTCTATAGAAATGTTGATTTTGTCATGTCTTTAAAAAAATGTACTTGAGACATTTTTTGGGTATTGAAACTGTACAAATTAAAAAAAATATTTGTTATATTTTGTTTTAATAGAACATGTTCTCAAACAGTTGGGAAAGGGGTCGGGAACCCCCAAAACAGGCAAACAACAAATAGATGTCTCTTATTACATTTTTTTATTTTTATTTGGGACAATACCTACCGGTATGTTGTTTCCTAGGCTTTTGAAGAACTGTACATAGTCGGAAGATTCCATAAGCATTGAATTTTTTTTATAACTACAAGTTCAGCAGAATATTTAGAGAGATACATAAATGTATGAAAAGTAAGCGAGAAATTTTGTGAGCAAGCAAACATACGTTAAGTTTTGGGCTGCAAGCACAGAAGGATGGTAGAATTTGTCCTGATTGCTGTGGCCTGGGTTCGATTCCCAGTTGGGGTCATATGTGGGAAGCGTTTTTCATTGATTCTCTCCTGTGCCACAAGGTTTTCTTTCTGGATTGTCTGGTTTTCCTCCCTGTGCAAAAAAACAACATTTTTTGATCTGGCTGTGCTCCATGGTTAGACATGGGTCGTATATCAGCTGCCTAAGGCCCTTTTACATGCTTTTGGCTCAACCATGTTGTAGCTGCATCCTTCGCAATTCAGCTTATGCTGCGAGTAAGGATGATTAGCCCCGCCCCCCTCCCAATTTATTATTGTATGTAATTTGTTTAATATAATAACATTCTACAGTTTACAGTTGAAAGATACAAACATTGTGTAAAAATACATTTAATTGAATTAAGCAAGCAAACCAAACACGACAGTTGTTTAAAAATCCAAAATTTAATTGCCATATTATAAAAAAGATAGTAAATCCAAAATCTAATTGCCATATTATAAAAAAGATAATAAATCCAAAATCTAATTGCCATATTATAAAAAAGATAATAAGTTGATGATCCAATCTCTATTGTCCATTTTTTTAACAGACCGGAAGATTCTTACGAGAGGTACAGTAGCTACCCGGGCCTGCGGCCGCCCCCCTTCATCCCCTTCTCCTCGCCCCCTAGCCACCTCTTCCCCCACCCCGCCATGAACCCTCTGGCGTTCTCCGGGTTGCGTTACCCCAGCGACTTGGCGGCCATGCAACTTTCCCATCTCTCCCCCGGGGTGTCATTCGGAGGTCTCGTGTCGCCGTCGGCGCAGCATGAAAGGTAAGCTGTTGATCGGTAGAAAATGTTGCATGGCAAATTTGTGAGGCAGTCTGGCAAAATGAGACAGAACTGGGCAGAGGTCGAAATAGGGGTTTGTTGGTATTGGGAAAGAGAATAACATTCTCCTTACAATAGTGTTTGTTGCACTTCAATCGGACATTCCATTGACAAGTTATGGCTGTTGAAAGTTCGCATTTATCAACATGTCAAAAAAGGAAAAATACTGAGAAAAAGGCTTTTATCGTTCGAGTTTTGTAGTTGTAAAAATGAAAGATGGTAATTTGTTTCTCCTTAAATACACTTTTATTTTACGATTTTTATACTGTTCCTTTAAAATATGTGTAGTAGACATATCAAAGCTTACAAATATCAATAAATCTGAAAATCAGTCGACTCTCGTTAGTACAAACTCTGTTAATACAAAATTCTGGTTATAACAAATATAAAGCCTTGGTCCCGACTGTGCATTTATGTGCACAATGAATGGGACTTATATTCCTCTTAATACGAAAATCTGATATAACAAACAATTTGGCTAGGTCCAAACAAGTTTGTTATAACGAGACTCAATTGTATACAGTTTTTTTTGTGCACTTTTCTCCACTATTGCCTGTGCCCAGTTCCATCTCATTTTGCCAGAACGCCTCACATTTATGCAATTAGCAAAAACCTGGTGAGTACCAGCCACGTGCAATACACATTGCATGACCTTTTAGCTGGTAACCTGTTTCTGCTTAGCAAGTATTTCTTGTGCTCAGCAAAATTCTGTGCTTAAGCAGCTGCCTGAAATTGGCTCAAAACCTCTCTTTTTTTCTTGATACATGTAGGTGGGATTGTCAAATGGGCTGTACATTTTAGAATAATTTAGTATTCGATTACTCGAAACTGGCTCTACCTTCCTCAATCCTGCAAAATCTATTATTATGTTCTTACAGAGAGAAGTTGCTGTTGGATCAGCAGCGGGATCGTGAGCGGCGGGCCGAGGAAGCCAAGCAGGAAGCAGCTCAGAAAGAGAAGCAGCAGCAACAGCAGCAGCAACGAGAGACGGAACGGGAGAATCACGACAGGACAGGGCTGTCCAGGAGCCAAGAGGACAAACGCAACTCACCGAGAGGTACTTTCACTTTCTTTCCCCCCAGGATCTGAAGAGCCAGCTAATTCAGGCGATTCACAATGCAATGCGCTACCGTAAAGTTTGCCATGGAGAGTCCATTGGTCAAGTTTACGGTCGACAAAACACGGCCCATTTGAACGAGTGCCAGCAGACAACTTGGGCTAATTTGTTATAGATTGGGGCGTAGCATTCTGCCACCTTACAAAAAACACCATATTGATTTTAAAAAAAGGGCAAACAGGTACTCTAATCATAGACTTACGAAACCACTGACTGAAAAAAGTAACAATTTCATATAGCCCGCGCTGCAGATTTGTCGACCATCTCCCACAGTGCACTGGGAAAATGAACTCTCTGTGGCAAACTCGTGGTGGCGCACTGCATTGTGGATTGCCTGAATTGTCCTCTCTCATGCTAACTGAGTGACTGGCTGAGTGAGTATGTGGATGAGTGGGTAGGTGACTGACTGATTGACAGACAGACAGACTGACTGACAAACAGACTGGAGCATGAATGCAAAGTAATCTACTTTTAAATTTCGCCCCCAAATGCAGACGGCTCTCACCTGCGGCCCTCCAACGCTCACCACCACAATCACCACCATCACCATCATCACCACCAGCAGCTGGCTCACTCGCAGCATCACCCGGGCTCACCACGGGTGCCCTCCTCCTCTTCCTCCGCTTTGGGTCACCGCGGGGAAGAACTGGCTCCTCTACCACTACTCAAGAAGGCTGATGGGGAAGACCGGTGGCACAGTAAACATCTCAAGGATGGCTCCAGCAACGATGTGCAGTACCGCCACGTCAGGAATTCACAGGTAAACTCCACGATTGTTTGTCTTTCCTCCGAGATTAGATTGAACCATTAAAGGTAGTGGACATCATTTGGAAACATTCAAAAATGAAACTGCCAAAATATGACTTGATTGAATAATAGTATCAAGCATCTTGTGAAATGGTTGCGTCTAGTATGCGGTCGTTTTGGAGCAAAGACAAATTACCATCATTTCCTCACGATGGTTAGGACCAAACAATTGCGAGAAAAACAAAAATAGTACTGCCCCAAATTGAACAAATTTAGTTTTGTTTGTAATTGGTTTCATATCCTTGAATGAGAATTATTTTGCCTAATGATAAACTGGGATCATACCGCAAGAGGGTCAAAGTCAAAACGCATTAGGGAACATTTGGAAGGGAGGGTTTTTCAACCCAAAACTAACGTTGCGTAAAGAGAAATGAAGACGCATTTTCATAGTTTTCTTAGACAGCATGATATCTACCAAGATGAAAGTTCGACAGGTTAATTTTTTTAATTACCTGCTTCAAATTCATTGCATTGTTGTTGCAGGAATTGGCAATTTTTTTTTTTTTGCAAGTGGCGTCCATATCCTTTAAGCCTTGTCTTATGATGGTTTAATTAAGCAATTGCAGCCATGATTAATTTTCGTCAAAATTCCGACATGCATATGTTTCCTACTTATTTAAACTACTCACTCGGTCTGCCATCAGAGCTTGAAGTTTCAATTCAATACAATTCCTTGGTTCTTTTTTGGGGGGCAGGCAACATCACACGAAAACCACATTGCGCACACCTCGGAGAAAGAAAGGAAGTCGTCACACCACGAACGAGAGTTGCTGCTCCAGCAGGACAGGCGCATTGCAGAGAGGTACGTTGACCTTTGAACTTTGAACATGACCTCCACTCCTGTCTCCAGTCCTTGAGAAAGGCCTTGTTTGAATTTGTAGGCAAAGACTGTCAAATAGGTCTTTTTACACAACTATTTGTATGTGAAAAACGTAGAACTATATTAATTACATTTACTAGAGTGCTAACTATTCATTCTGACGCGTGGAGAGACTTTGAAGCCGGCCTGGGCGCAGACATTTTGAATTCATGTGCGTGTTTGTGGAATAATGAAAGTACATGTACATGGAGTGAAATTTGAAAGTGTACTCTAAATGTTCATGTAACACGCAAGAACAACATACACAAACAACTTAAATGTGAGTCATGATGGTTAAAAAACGTCACAGCAAATACCATCTGCAGAGGATGCAAGCATGAATTTGTGTTCTTTGTGCAGAGCAAAATGACACGCTCCTTTACTGATTGTGCGTTTTGGTTTTGGACGTATCGGCTTCGATAACTCATCTGTATAGAATACAAACGCAGACATGCAAAGAGCCGTACGAAAGCCGTACAAAATTTTGAGCTTTCCATAGGTTTGTGCACAAACATGGATGTGCCCAGCAGGCATCACTTTGTACATCAAATGAACGCTCTAGTGATTGTGCGTTTGGGTTTTGGGCGTATAAGCTTCGTTAATGAATTTAATGTAGCTCTATGGTGGGAACATACTGATGCCAGACATACTTGCAGCTTTTGAAGCCCATTTTGAACATTGCCAAAGTTCCTCCTCGGACACCTTTGTGCAAACAGTAGATGGCACTTTTTGACCTTTTTTGAGAACCCCAGTGGGAGGGACACACTGCTTGCACATACTGGCTTTGTACGTATGGTGCAAAGGACGCATGACTTATTCTATTCTGAATGGGCACTAGGGCTGTGCATAGGAACCGGATGCCCGAACTGGTTCCAGATTATGGGATCGGGTACCCCTAACCAACTTAACAAAGTACTTGGTAACTTCTCAGACAATGAAAAAGGAAAGGTTTTGAACGCCACTTAGGGGAATTTTCAAAATGAAACCAGGCTACATGAAAAACCAAAACAGAGTTCACGTTTATGTGCATTTTAAAGTTGCAAATCCTTTAGCCTGCATTGTACACCGATGTTGTTGTGTTGTCATGTGCACCTTTATGAACAATCTCATCAGCACATTCCAGGATTTGAATTTGGGGGTTTTGGTTTCCTTTACCAGTAGTCGAGTACCCGTGTTTTACTTCGATAGGGTACCTGGTTCCTGTACTACCCTTAAATGCACACCACTAATGGGCACAAACCCATAACTTCTTGGTGTGAGCATTAGGCGCCTGTCCACAGCATGTCCCTCCTAGTGGTCTCGCCCAACTCTCTCTTTGTAAGCATCTAGGGGGTACTTGTATACTGAGTCCATACAGGACTGTTACTGAATACATTCAGGATGTCATTTTTACCACTTGCCTATTATCAGGAGACACTATAGGTTTGCACACATTTGGTAAAGATGTGATCCTGTTGGCTCTGTCCATGTGCATGTACGGGTCAGTATACACACAATGCTTTATTGGCTGTCTTCTGAGTAGGACTTTATTGGTGTACTTGGTTTATTCTACTTGTACTGATTACTTTTATGTAATAATGTCTCATTTGATGTACCTACAGACATGAGAAAGAGCGGACTTTATTGCGAGAGCAGCGGAACCAATCAAGAGGGGACCATCACCACAGCAGTAGACCGCCCCCTCTGGTGTCGCCAGTGCGTCCATCTCGCGAGGAAATATACCGCCATAAACTCTTCAACAACCACCGGCCCGCGAGCCAGGACACTGTCATTCCGCCGCAGTACGACTACGAGAGGCTCAACAGCGTCGACCGGATTCTCTTGAACGATAAGTCGTCGGTTGCAACATCGGCAAATGCAGCGACAACGTCAGCGGCGGCTGAGAAAGCGTGGTACGAACAGCAGCGCAGCTTGATGGCCAACCGGGTGCAGAGTCCTCACGGAAACGCGGCTAGGGAGTTTGACCACGAGGCACGCGTTGTCGCCAACAGTCACGGCCCGCCGCCGCCGCAACCGGCAACTGCGCACAGCAAGTCGTCTCATCTTAGTCAGTATGACTACGACCGGCCCCATGCGGAGTTCAACTACCACCTGCAGGAGTTCTATCGGATCAACCAGCAGGCTCGGGAGCTGCAGAACTCCCACAGTGGGGACCAGCTGCCGCCGCCACCCACGGTGCAATTGAACGAAAACGGGGAACCGGTGGTGTCCAAGCTGGACCTCGAGGGCCGCCAGCGGTTGGAGACTCGAGCCAACGGCATCTACATTTCTAGCGAGAGCGAGTCGGACAGTGAGGAAGAGACTGAAGTTAAGAGGGAACGATACCGTAAGAGGATGCACAGAATCGTCAGAAAGTCCTGCATGACTCTGGATGATTCGGAGAAGAAGACCAACTTCTTCCAAGTCATGGGTCTGGTCACACATGGGAAGAAAGAAGGTAATATCACCCGTAACAAACTGTTTTACAAAGTCTTTCAAAAAGTGTTTATTGCCGTACCCTTCCATGTACACACTCGGTATCTGCTCATTTGATCATATCCAATGCTGTTCAATTGCAGTTTGATTACATGTGTTAATGGATATAAAAAAGTATCCCAAGTGCAAATTGCTTATGCGGAGATTCGTGGCAATTTTTCTAACCTAAGGTGTTGGCTAGAGACAGTACAAAGTCAATGGAGATAATCTGATTGTGTCTTGTGTATTCTTTTAAGAATTAGGCAAAATAAAAAAAAAAACATGTTTAGCGTCCTGCCTCTTTGACAAAAAGGAAGGAGGAGGCCCTTTTTTTTTTTTTTTTTTTCAAAATGGCCGCCCGACACATTTTTCAAGACAACGCGGCCGGGCTATTTTTCAAGATGGTTACCAGCTTTTTTCAAAATGGCCGCCACTTGGACTCATTGACTATTTCCACAGCTTTATACACGGTATAAAAGTCTAAAAATATGATTTCTTTCGTCAGAGATAGTTAAAATTTATCAATTTTTGTCTTTTAAAAAAAAAAAAAAAAAAAAAAAGGAGGCGGCCTCTAAAAAGGAAGCGGGCGGGGACGCTAAACATGTTTTTTTTTTTACTTCGCCTTATGTCATTGATATAATGCAGTCATACCTCATAATTGCCAACTTTTCAGTTTCCTACTTTTCCAAATTTCCTACTTTCGAGTTTCTAACTTATCAATATTTAAATTTTAACTGTTCAGATTTCCAAATGGACCAATTTCCAACTTTTTATCCTTCCAACTCAAAAAGGTTCAGCTTTTATCATCCCAACTTCAAAGTTTCCAACTTTCCGAATTGTTACTTCCCAATTACTAACGGTCCAATATTCAACTGTCTGTTTTTCCAAATTCAAAATTTCCTATTGTCCAAATTCCAACCATTTCTTTTTCAGAGATAAACGAGGAAAAACGGAGAAAAAGGCGGATTTGGCTGAAGGAGGACCAGCCCACAGCCAAAGTCAGACGGCCGTCGTCAGAACCGGCCAGTCTGCTGCCCTCGCCAGCCAAGCTGAGCCAGGAGGACTTCCAACGAGAGCTGGACTACCCCCACAAGTGCCGGTTCCTGCGCGGCCTGGGGCTGGACGTCGTGGGACGGGACAAACGGAAAGGTGCGTGGTCGGGGCATTATTGTTGTCATTATTGCTGTCAAAGTAGCTATAGACAGATCTTGCAGCAGCTATTTTCTGCGGTGCTACCAGGCTCGCGCAAGTCACGCTCAGATAGTACGCACACATGCACTCCAGGCTCCTCCGACCACTACGAATGCCAAAATGCGTGTGCGCCTCGTCTTTAAGAAAGCATGCAGCATGCACGTGAGCGCGACACCACCGCAGTAAAAGCTTCTAATTCTGGTCGCCGGATTCCTCTATAGGAATCAAAGGGGTTTTTGAAAACCTTATGTTTCATTCCTTCAACACTGGCTTTGGGACAATGCCGGAAACTAATCAAAGGTTTCATCCATCTCAGAATATTTGTTTTGAAATTTAGCACACGATTTGACACAATTGAAAATATTTGCAACATGAGTTTTACAGGATAAACACGAAAAATTGATACCTTCATGCTGCCATAAACTTCACTGTTCATGTACTTTAAATTTAAAAAACACACATTTTATTCCACGGAGCTTCATGAACGATTCCATCAACCATGTCATCTACAGGGACTCAATTGCCGCAAAAAGTAAACATTGTACCTTGAACATTGGATGCCAATTTTTCAATCTTTCTTTCCCCCCCCCCCCCCCACCACTCTTATTTTTTTAGAAATGGAGAAGGCACGAGCAGCTGTTGAGGTGTACCGGATAAGGCAAGCCAAGAAGAAAGAAGCAGCAGCGACTGGAGAAGAGGCTAAGGGGAAATCGGAGTCTGCAGCCGGCGGCTCTGAAACGGCGCAGACACCGGCCGGCCCAACCAACTCCGGTACGGATGGGGGACGTATTTGATTTATTTAGGACAACAGCTTTGTTTGCCTTTAGGCTGACACGGTTTGTGGTCTAGGTGCTATTTGGTTTGGTCTAGGTTTGGCTTGGTTGGTAGAGTGCTGGCACAGTGTTCCAGGAGGTCACCGGTTCCAAATCCTGCTCCAGTCCATTTCTTTCCTGTTTGGTTTGGATGTGAACCCAGTCAGTTTCCCTTTGTGGTGTATTTGATGATTTATAATAAAAGGCTGTATCTTTGAGTGATCGCTGATGCTATTTCATACCGGTAGGTCTGCGACATTTCTAATGTTGCTAGTATCGGGACTTTGGACATGATCCCTTGCCATTTGGCACATACAGGTTTATGCCTCCTGACTAGCACCCCTCAACACTGACTTTGACACGTAGTGAGACCTCCAACATAGGGTTGGATAGCTCAGTTGATAGAGCTCCGGTACGCTAATCCAGAGGTCTCAGGTTCAAATCTCAGTCCATTCAATTTAATTGTTCGACCAAGTGTTGAATTTAAGTGATCAAAGTCAGTTACCCCAATGTTTGACGAAAAATTAAGGGGGTCATTATTTTTCTTGCCATCTAACCAGGTACTGATAGCAAAGCAGAGAACTCAGAAAATGCCCAATGCAAGACGGCTGTCGGCGAGACTTTCCCCAACCATTTGGTGTCGTCACCCGGGGCGCAAGCCCACCTGAAAAATGAGAGGACATTGCTGAGCGGGGGTAGTAGCACTCCCCAGACTCGGACCCCGGACAATATGCTGCACGGCCGGCAGGCGACGCTGTCCGAAAAGGACATAAAGAAAGAACCATCAGTGAGCAGCGAGAGAGCAGACTTGCCCCGATGCAGCAGCAAGGGCAGTGCCGCGGCACTCGCTGACCAGAAGGAAGCATTGCCCTTCTCAACGGCCGCCTTGCTGTCACGGGGAGGGCCAGCGACAGCAACGGCGGCGGGCAAATCGTCCCAGTTTGAAGGCTTTGCCCAAGAGTTCCATCAATCTGTACTGAGGACCACTCAAGAGGCCATGGCTCATCAGAGGGTGGGTACCACCGGCCCCAACCTACTCCAGGTAGACCCCCAGAGACGGGACAAGCTTGCCCATGCCGGCCTGACGAACTCAAACACTGAGGGCACTGGCCCGAGTAGGAATAACGCCCCGGCATGGCCCAAGGGGCAGCTACAGTGGCCTGGTGTGGAGGCTGTCATGGATTCATATCAGAGACATGCAAAAGGTAAGGTTTGATTTATGGTGTTTTGTCTTGAATCTGTCAGGAATTTTATCAAGAAAGGGCCACCTCATATGCATTGTAGGGTATTTAGGGTATTATGATCAATACTCTGTGCGTACAGCGCTAGCATAGGAGTTCTGCGCCAACCCTGTAAGCTGTTGTGGGAAGGACTCAAAATCCTTGCCAACCCATGAAATACACTAACTGTTAGCACAGAAACTTTCTTGGAATGTTAGCAAAGATTTTTCACAGACGGTATAAAGGCTTGTTTGTAGTGCACAAGAATGCGATGGGTCGCGAAACATTTGATGCAGAGTTTGCCAGAGTTGCACAGCTTGGGAATTTGAAGTACGACTTGCCTTGTCTTCACGGATTTTGCATTTGTCTTCGCTTTTGCGCCGAGAACTCGCCTACTGTACAGCAATGAAGGGTCTCGTATCACAGGCAATGAAAAGAAGAACATGGGACAAGTTTTTGTCATGGAAATTCAAGGCTTTTGCTTTTTTCTCCCCCTGTGGTTGACAGAGCAAGAGTTGGAACGGAGTGTGTTGCTAGACCAGCAGAGCAGACTGAGAGTATGCAACGGTGAGCTGAACAGTGCAGCCGAACAGCTCCGACTTAAAATGGCTGTAAGTATTTTCGTCATCACAGCATTCTTTCTAACTTCAATGTTAAGAGTTTTTACTTTTCGAGTTTGGCAAACGGTGATCTGTGAAAAAGGCAGATGTGTTAAAACTGACATTGAGTTTGATTGTCTTGCTAGGCCCTGCATACGTGCCGACCCAAAATGGAACGATAATGTTAATGGAAAAAACTGTTGTCAAAATGGCGGCGCCCTGTATGCAAATCCAAAAAGTGTCGCTGTTTGGATAACAGTTTTTACGATCCTAAATTATTTTTTTTTAAAGTTAATTGTAACTGGAAGCCAAATGTTGCCAGTAATATATGAACTTTATGCAGATGTGGAAAACGGAACATTTTGTTGCGTTTATTGTGTGTCGGCCATTTTGGAAAAACAAACACATATAGCGGGCGACTTGGGAAGACATTTGCCTTTGTTGTAGATGTTTGCCGAAACAGCTGGCAAACAGTTGGTCCCACTCCTGCCAGTATTGCCAAATGTAAGAATTGTTTGTATGGGCTCCTCGCGCCAACAGAAGAGGGTCGTGTTTTTATCACTTTTGAGAGCCCCATGGACGGGGGACACTGTACTGTACTGGTTCGCGCGCAAGGTACACACGACTTCCTGATTGTGCCAAAGCTATGAGCCACAGCATCTTCGCGTGAGCGTCAGGCGTCTTCGGTGTGCTAATACGTTCAAATTTAACTTCCGATGGTCTCCCAGACTAATCCCTGCCCCCAATAACTTTGGATCAGTCTAGGTCTCCCCCAACTCTCCTTTTCTGGTCGTTGAAGGAGTACTTGTGCACAGAGCCCATGATAGTGGAAGGCACCCTAGTCCTCACATTGCCCACTGAGAATAAAACTGAGTGGAACTTGTCTTAACTCCTCCACCCCTTCCTTACCCCCCATAGGACCTGATGGAGAGAAAACAGTTATTGCATCGGGAGCAAGAAGCCTACCTCAGGGATCTACACCATCTACAGAAATATGTGTACGACATGAGGAAGTAACGCCATCAACCATAGTCCGGGGCCACTATCCATTGTACAGGGCCACCACCATAGCAACCACTAAAAAAAAATGTAATGCAAAAAAATTTATTTAATTCAAAGGGGCCATTTTTTGAAGAAAAAAAAAATAAGAGTGTAAATATTCGGTATGTCTTTTAAGAGTTATCTGTCCATGTTGTTGTTGGGTTTTTTTTCTTCTTCTTTTTTGTTTATTTGAGGAAAAAAATGTGGCTTTAAGTTAATAATTTAAGAAATGATAGAGAAGATTTTACTCTTTCTAGAACACTTCCTGAAAGTTTTTCTTTTTGTTTTTGTGTCCATGCATCAAGTGACTACCAGTACTTGTCTGTACATTATACAGGGCCACTTACTGGTTTATAATGTATTTTAGACTTAATCATGAAAAGGTTATGTACATTTTGTTTTAGTTATTAAAAGCAGGAGACTTTGGTATATTATTCGGGGAAGAAGTGCAATTGGGGAGATGTTTAATGAAAGAAACCCCAGTAATTTATTACAATGCAAATTGAATGCATTAGTATCAGACATCATGTTTTAAGATATAACTCGGAAAGTATGTGCAGTGTCTTTAATGCTTCACGGCCAAAATTGATTTTTGTTTTTTGTGTTTTAGTCATTACTAAGTTTCAGTACGTCAAGGTCTTAGATTTGGGTATAGAAATTAATAAATTATCTTGGAAATAGAAAGGAAAAAGGGACAATGAAAGACTTTGGCTACTCATTTCAGGAACTGCTTTGAAATAACGTATCTGTGGTCTTGTTTCACGAATGTTGTGACGGCAGCCTTAAGCAAATTAAGAAACTAAAAAAAAACCCTGACCAATCACTGTCTCAGCTCAGTATCACATGACCTGATAATCTCTCACCGACAGTGAATTCTCAAAATGAAAAGCTCAGATATTTCTTCCTTTGGAAAATGCGAGCAAAGAGACAAAATTGCTGTTTTTAACTTTTAAACATTCGAAAAGGAAAAGGAATTTTTTTTTTTTTTTTAAGCAAAGACACTCCAACAGAAGTTTATTCCACTTCAGCACCAGTATTGATTAAAGTTATTGTTTTAAAAAAGGGCATGTGAATATTTACTTCTGTTTTCATTTTTATCATTGAAATTCACAGCACTTTTCGTGGAGTCTGGTCTTGTTTATTTATTCATCCTAAAGGAGTCATATTGTTGTTATTCACTTGTGAAGTTAGACAATAAAATTATTTATTGCTCTGAAATATTAAACACTTTTAGAACGGGATTATTCCTTTTTTCTTTCTTTTGGAAAGATTTTGCTCTAATTTATAAAAGCCCTTGATGTGTGTTTGTATACAGTAAAGGTCAAAGTGAGATTTACACAAAAAAATTTAAAGAATTTCCGTAGCTGTGTTTAATTTTTTTTTTAAATGGTCCGATCATGATTCGTCTTTGCACAGTACTGAAGCATTTTTTTTCCAGTTTATCAGTTGGAAGTGTTCCTCTAACATCACAAAGACAAATTTTCATACACACTATAAGGGAATATACAACATTGGCTTTTACTGTAATTTTCAGACTAAAGTTTTGCTTTCGTAGATGCTGGAAAACCCAAAAAAAGCAATCATGTTCCTGTAGTCTGGTTCCTAGGTGTGTAATCGATTGCAAAGACAATGTGGACTAACTAAATATGGTAAATTTGGGGCAGTATTTGAAAAAAGACCAGCGTTGGAAAATGATATGAAAATACCACTTTTCTTCAAAATGACCGCACACCAGTTGTGATGATTTTACAGGATGCTTTAGACTGTCATTCACTAACAGTCCAGTAAGGTATTTCATAATAATTTGGTAGTTTTGCTTTTTGATGTTTGCAAATGTTGTATATTCCCTTTAAGTCGACTTTGTAATAGATGAATTGCATTCAGCAGCCATCTTGGAGGTGTGCTTTGTTATGTTAATTCACTAACAATGAATGCACAAGAAGTCTACTCATGCGTATCCCTGTTGAACAAAAGCACACACCTCCAACATGGCTGCAGTGCAAACAATCTATTGGCATGAGCTGTTTCATTTGTGTGGTACAATCTTTCAATAGTAAGGATTCGTTGTTATCAAAGTGCATTGAATATAACATCTGAAGTCGTATTCATTCACATCCGAGACACCAAGCCAAGGTCTGAATGTGTTAGAATTGGAAGAGGTTGAATTTAAATGGTGAAAAAAATTACATTCGCAGTCATCTGATTTTCACTGTTGCGTTTTGCTTACTTGAATTGTACACTAAAACCGACAAGTTGTTGATGCTATTTCTCAACTCGGTACACCAAATGTAATATGGTCAGTATGCATCCACTGCACAAAAGTCACTGAGTGTGTGTTGCCCAGTGCTCCCATTAACCCTAACCCTACCAACTCCATCAAAATCCATCTCCCCCCCCCCCCCCCATTGGGTTTGGTCCTGAAGCATTATGTGAAGCAGAGTGAGTGATGGATTTTGATGGACATGGTCTTCTGCTTCAGTAAAACTAAGTAGGGAGTCTGGGTTAAAGGCTTGCAGTCAATGTAGCGGCTTGCCAAAGAAATATTAGTTGTTGACCACAGACCCTGGCAAGTCAGTTGGGTCTTAAGACAGGCCTTCCTTACGAGATTTACTGCACAGAACAGAAACTACCGGGAAATATGTACTACATCTCAATTTTTCACCAAAACTTTTGGGTCTCAGCCTGTCAGGACTTTGGAATGTTTGCATCTTGTAGCCCTACTATCAAGCTTTCCAACCACGTATAGTTTGTCCGGAATATCTCATTTTTGAGGTACATTTCTATTGAGATATATGCATAGTGTAGCAAGTGATTACCGCATGGTGCTGATAGGCCTTGCTACGGGATTTACTAGAGAAACTAGCAGGAAATCTTGAACTCTCCATTTTTTTTTTGATTTGCTAAGCTGTCAGATCACATACTTTGTAAAGCATCATTGTGTCCTGTGTGTGTGTCAACACTGCACTCTTTATGCTGCACTTGTAGTGCCACTGTATTATGTAATAATACCAGTATTGGTAGCCACAATTTAATAGCAGCAAATTCCTAAGAATTATGAAAGGCTTTTTTTTTTTTGGAAAAACAAAATCACTTTGTGTCCGCACAGTCTTCTTTTGTGTATTTATCTCTTCCATTCTCGAGATCATCAGAAAGTGTTGTAGACTTTCCACACCCTTTAAAAAAAAACACCTTACATTCTACTTCAGAATAACGGATCAACTTTGTAAAAAAATATTCCAAACGTTTCCATCATTGAATGAACGAATTAAAGGGTTGTTCCCCTGAGGAAAATCAAACTCTTCAAAATAGCAGTGATTTATATCCCACAAGATTCATCTGTACAAAAATGATGATGGACAAAAATGGAAAGTTTTAAAACACAGGTATGCCAATGATATTTTGCACAGAAGACACAAAAAAAGGTTTTATACACTTTCTTTACTTTGTAACACACGTTTTTATTTCCACGGGCTACCTTTTGCAGAAGGAAAAAATGAACAGAATATTTGAAATTATTGTAATGGAAAAATGTTGGGATACAGCACCAGTTTGTATACTCATCAAGTGTGAAAAATAGCAGCTGACCACATTATAAACAAGATTATTTATCGACACTAGCTGCTATGTATATGATTGTTAAAGCACCGTTGATGCTTCTTAAATGTGGAAAAAGTTGCCCCAAATCGTCTCTTCTGAGAAAGGAAGAAAAAACAAAACCCTTTTTGGGGTCATTTTTAAAAATGGCTAATATGCAGTGTGTGCAAACAGAAAAATGTGGAGTTTTGGGTCAAACTCAAAACGTGCTTTTTAAATACAATGTTTGCTTGAAAATATTTTCTAAAAATAAAAGATGTTCCGATTTCTCTGCGATTAATAAATCCAGACGTGTTTTTAACTAGGTGGTTCTCATTCTTGTACAGTGTTACAATGGTTGAATTATGGTCAAACATTTCCCTACTGCAAGGGGAACTTTTTTTTTGTATCAGCCGTGTACATTGATATACAAAACCAAGGTAGGTATTTGGACAAATTCTATCATTATTATATAATAAGAATCATTGTGGTGACCAAAAATGGGTTTTCAATTGAGTTAAATAGATTTTAAAAACTGTGTTGACACGAGTGTTAATAAAATAGCTGTTCTACAGAGAAGAGACAGTCTAAAAAACTGTGAAGACTTTTAAGAGATTATGATCTATTTGTGAAGTAATTTAAAAACAAAATGAAAGAGAATAAATATTGTGTTTTGTACAGTGGTCACTGGAAATCTTTTCTCATGTGAATTGTCTTTTGTGTCGAGTCTTTTAAAGATAGAAGAAAAATAAATTTTGAAATAGTCTGAAGGCACAACTGTACAGTTTAACCCTAATGAACTTACAAGCTGACTTGGCCAACGTAAAGGGGTCAACTTAATTTGCGCATTCAAATATGGCACTATACATCGCAAAACTACATGTAGTTTTTGCGACGTTTTTGTGACGTATGCTAGAAAAGTCCAATCACACTACAGGTAAGGTGGCTTTATCAAGGTACATAGCAACCAATAGGTATCTCTCAAACGACGTTTCCTACAGACCAGCCATGTGCATCGGCATTTTGAGCGTCGACTTTAACGCGCATTGGCTGCATCGTATTTAGAACACATTTTGAGCAACAAGCGTGCGTGTTTGGAATCAATATTGCGCAATGCGTGCTTGATTCTGTAAAATATGTAGTTGCAGTTCTCCTACGAGATGGCCTTCTTTGAGAGAGACCTATAACCTAGACCTGACATTTGCCTGAAATTTCTGATATCGAAACACTTGATCCTGTTATGCGAATTCTCCATGAAGCGATACGAACGTGCAAGGGAACAGTCGTACGACGCGCAGGCATTTAGAATGAGCATTCACGTAACATGCCCATGATAGGACACAGCGTTTTGATATCAGGAACACACAACGTGAAAGCATAGAAATGTCAGAGCTGTGTTTTTTTTTTAAAGAAGTCTATGGTATACATGAACACGTGAACAAACAGGAGACAGCACTTTGTGACCAGAAGGACATGCTTTGGAAGGCGACACCGCATGCTTGCACTGCTTCACATGGGTAATGGCGCAAAGTACGCATGACAATTGTTTTTCTTCAAATGTACACAAAACTGTAGCATCTTTGCATGAGTGTCACGCAGTCAGCATTGTTGCCTTCCTAGTGGTTTCCCCCAACTCTCCCTTTGTAATCGTTCGGATGAATTAAGGCGTTTAGGACCCAGTAACCACAACACTGAAATGGGGCATGACGTCCAGATTTGCTTTAAACAAAACAGTATCGTTAGTAGAATTTTTTGACCGATGCCAAATCAGACATCCATTAATTTTACTGGAAGACTTTACTCTTCTACAAGTGTTCCACTTTACAATACACCCGGACTGGTTTTACAAGCTTCCGGCTTGATCTTCAGTTTAAATCTGATTTACACCAAAACAATAGTACAGATAAGGCCTTTTCACTCTATGAACGTCTGATCCGTGTCTAAATCTACAGGGTTCCAACCCATGTCGACTTCAAAAAATTTCAATATGGTTCAATTTCGCTACGTTTTCACACTACTCATTGCAAACCCACCGTTTTTGCCACACGTGTAATGTTTCGACCTGTGTATTGTGCGATCGTTTCACACGACACACAAGGCCGTCCGCCCTACACATATTTTATAGCTCCATGGACGGTCAGCCCAACCACGGACCCGCACTTCATGTCAGTCTTTCTTCCGATTTCAGGCCCATTTTACGTCGGAGGATAAAATATTCTGTGACTTGAACTTCTAGCACCATCGAAAGTACATGTATATGCGAAGAACGCATAAAAAACCAAGCGTGGTCGGCCGCTTCTACTTTCTAGTGCTTACGAAAAAGCAAGCGCCGTCGGCAGGTGTAGTGTGAATATCAGGTGTTATGAAATACGGACTCATTAAGGTACTGCGCATGCTCATGCATAGATAATTAGGAGAGGGACCGGTCACGTGAAAGGGTTTAACCAATAAAAGGGAAAAGATCAGATTTTCACACGAGTCCGATTTTCATATCTCACTGGTGGTGGCGCGACAGGGCAGCAGGTAAAAGGTTATTTGTATGTTCGTTGCATGCTAAAAAGTAACAACTACAGCATGATGCTGCATGCACGCAATGCACTCTCGTACTCCGGCCGGTCCGCGTCCGATGAGTCGATATGCGGTTGTACACGGGTCGAACGTAACTCAGAAGTGTTCACACTATGGCTTTCAACACGTGTCGGACTTCTCGACACGGATCGAGAATTCTCAACCCACCTCCCGAGTAGGGTTAGTTTCGACACGGGTCGAGTGCTCTACACGGGTCAGTGCCGTGTTCAAATGTTGTAGTGTGAAAAGGTTATTCCATTTTGCATGTGTCTGACCCGTGTACAACACGGAGATTTTTCGTAGTGTGAAAAGGCCTATAATCCTCGTTAATTTAAAACCAGGTTGAAATATTCAAGACGTAGGCTACTGGTTCCCTTGTGGAGTGTAACGTGGTTTTACCACAAACACTGAACAAGCAGAAACCACGTCAACAAATTGACAAGTTCTCTTTTGGGGGTGTTGGGTTCGAGCAACTTCTCCGTGTTGTCTTGGGTAAAGGCAGACTGTTTAAATACATGTACTCTGCAAGAAGCATAGCTAGTTGACCATTGAAAAACCACAGGTATGACTAGTACGTGCATGAACGGTAGACTGCCCTTTTTGACTACCTTCAATACTGTGCGCGAACCAGTTCGCACAAGTACGCATGACTAATTTTATTTCAAATGTGCACAATTCTGGAGCGTGAGCATCAGGTGCTGTCAGTAATGTGATTGGATGTCCGTCCCAGTGGTCTCCCCCACCTCTCTGTTTATAACAGTTGAGGGGGTACTTGTGCACGGAGTCCATTCACAGATATGCCCATATCTGACAGATACTAACTTTGAATTCGTTTCCATCCTGGCAAAAGTTCAACGACATCGGACTACACCAACTGCCTCTGTATTCAAAATAGGATCGAGACAATCTTTGAGATCTAAACTAGAGTTGATTGTATTTTAGTCCGCTATATTTTGCCATTTTCCAGATATTTTCTGCTGTTCCACCGCCGTGACTGTAAGTTTCTTGAGATGAACAATGCATGTGTGTGTGTCGATATTCCACCACTACCCTTCTCTGTGTTCAGGGTCTGTCCTGGCTATCCCAGATAAGCAGTAGGAATGATTTCAGGGTTACTCCAACGCCACAGAGCTATTAAAACCTGGGTTGACCAGGCGGAAGCTAATCCAATGCAGCCTTTAGGAGAGTCACTCCTGTGTATATGGCTGTCCACCAGTTACCGTGTTCATCCTTAGCGTGTGCATGTGATCTAAGGCCTGGGTCAGGAACGGACGGACTGTGTTGATCTCCATCAGTGACAGGTTGTCAAGCTGTATGAAACAAATAATTAATGTGAATCTGAAGACAGTCCAAATATTAAAACTTTAGGTTTGGTTCCAACTTGAGGATTTCAGGTATTTAAAATCAAAAACCGCCTTTGCATTGTTCTAAACATTCCATCTGCACTTGGATTATTTTCTGCCTGTTAATTGTGGAGAAATAAATACAGCGTGAAACAAATTGAAAGCCCCAAGCCTGAAGAAGTGATGACATCAGTCCAGCCAGCCCAGCATTTCCCTTGATAATGAACAAATCCTGCTAAATAAACTGAGCCTCATTTTCTAGTGTTTCCTTACCCGGGCATGGGTTTCTTGGTCTTTGACAAACTTGTCCACGCTCTGGCGAAGTTTGGCCATTCTCAAATCCCAGATGTCCTTGATTAGTGTGTACACTTCGTCAGCGTGGGGGATGTCATCAGTTGCACTATACAACACACATACACAAAAAAAGAAGTCAAAGGTTTGCCCAGTCCTTACTTGAATGATGCTGTTATGCCCAAACTATGGCGTCTTCCCAACTTTAGTTAGGACTGTCCAACGGTAGTTTGGACAGCTTTGGAATGTCCCAATTATAGTTGGAACTGTCCCAACTATAGACGATTCTGGGCATGTGATCACAGTCACACGCACGACACCCCCTTCAATGGAGGACCACTTGTCGATGCCACTTTTCCCCCACCAAATTCTCAATGAAGGTCAGTCATTGCAAACATGTTGGAAAAAGTATATATATTGAACAGACACAATTCCAATTTGTACATAACCAGAAAGGCATCAGGACACTATATTCTTTCCGGCCGGTCACCAAACTTACTGGCTTAATAACAGTTTAGTGACCTCCATGTAGTTCTCATTCAGTGTCGGCTGGAAGATGGGCGAATCTATCTCCTCTTGCTTTTTGGCCTGGAGTTTTTCTTGGTAAGAACGAAACAAAATTTGTTTTCACTATCAGAATGCTGTTTGTGTGTGTCTTTTTTGGAAGGAGGGGGACTTTTTATTATTATTATTAAGGGGATTCATTTGGGAAGTCTAACAAACTTGGCATGTTGGACGAATGGACACTTTATCACCTTTTTATTTGCATTTAAACTTTAATAGTCGTGATAGTGATAATTATTAGTATGATTACAGGCCTTGACATTAATATTATGACAAAAAAATGGGCAGGCCATTGCTATTGGGACGTTCATTGTCATAGTGTTAAAATATAAAGGGCATATTGGCCAACTTGGATGCGAACAGTGTATATTTTTAAAGGCCATCCTGGGAGGGCAAGCAGCCAATGGCCTCCCACACTTTTATGTTTTATCAAATTCAAAAAGGCTGTGTCATTGTCCTGTGATTAAAAGACAATTTTTTTTTGCTGGAAGGTAAACTTAAGGCTAAGTAAAAAAATAAAACAGTTTCTCATCCCCGCCCGCTTCCTGTTTTGCCCGCTTCCTGTTTTGCCCACTTGCCTCCGTTTTTTTTTTTTTTAATTCATACATTTGCAACATATAGGCTTACTCAGAGGCAAAATCCATGGGGAGAACTTTGCAAAACGTTTCTAAATATTTTCTAACAAAAATAAAATGTTTATCAGTCTCAAGTTTGTGTTTTCTTCATTTAGTCATTAAGAAGATTTATGATAAGAAGAAAACAGCATTCTTTCCGATGACTAACTTGCAATAAAAAAGATGTCCGGGTTTTTTTTGGTGGGGGGGGGGGGGGGAAATTTGTTTTTTCCCAAATATTTTTGCAAGGATTTACCATCATTTATATTAATCCATAATTGGAAAGAATGTTGCAACCTGATGCCATTTTTTTCTTCTTATATCATCTCAATGAAGGTCATTCATTGTAAAAATGATGCTAAGACATGAATCTGGCACTGAGAAACATTTCCAATTTTGTTAGGAAATACTAGCTCTACTGAGTGGAGCGCTGGAACTTTGGCGCCCTCCGTACAAGCGCTCCAGCGAATCGGCATACTTTGACTACACATTTAAATCACTGACACAAGGTATGCAACATTATCGTTGTAACTTTGTATTCACAAGATGGGAATCGGACCATTTTACAATTTCAGACTTTATTTCCCTTTACAAAAAATCCTCCAGAGCCACAAATCTGAAAAAGAAAATGTAATAGACCTACTCTGCAATAAAATGTTTGAGACATGTTAAAATAATAAAAGAAGAATATTTAAATTTTTTGGGATGGGGAAAAAAACCTTAGATTCGAAATGTCACCAGCGGGGATCGGGATCGATTCGAACCGAGGTCTTCCGGCTCATTAGATCCGTTGCTTATCCACTAGACCACAGTTGCTACAAAATTGTTGGTGGTAATTTAATATATCTTATAATTCAGCCCTATCTTAGAGAGTACAGCGCCCTCTGTTGATAGGGATTGCCGCCGGCAAAATATCCACTTCCTATTTGTAATTGTAGGCCTAATTGATAAGAATAAGATAATACATTCATAACTACTAAACAATGGAGGAAGGTCTCTTGAATACCAACCAACGTCCATCCATTCGGGTGGCTGTATCCTACACTTCTGTCGCTGCTTCAAATTCACCGCCATCCACAACGGGACCTCCACCGGCAGCCCGGCGTTGAACGGCCCGATGTTGCCCCCGATCAGAAACACTTCGTCGTGCGAGAAGTTCGGAACAACAGTCACTATTTGTTTTTCGGCTAAAAATTCGACTTCCGACGGATCCATTGTGGATGGAGTTTTACTCACATACGGGCCTCAGTATACGAAAAAAAAACCAGCAACTACATAAATAAAGTACATTCTTGGACTCGAATTTAATCACGTTCCTACGTGCATTTCAATGTATTTGGCGCGGAAGTGTTGAAATTTGTTTGTACACGTGACACTAATGAACTTTGACATTTTATAAATTGCTTTTTATAAAAGTATAATACAACAGAAGAAAACAAAAATTAAGGCCAATTAAGGCTTAAAAGTAATTTAATTTGCTTTTAATGAATATAAAATTGAATAAAACTACTTAAGAAAAAAATAAGTTTTGATTAAAATTTATATTAAGAAATACCCATAAATGAAAGAGACGGGATATTTCCCATGATGCAACAGCATCGAATGCGCATCAAATTCAAAAATCTGAAGGTGCGGCGCAGACGTAGACGTGACCGACAGAAAACCGACGCTTGTTCAAGAATCGAGTGGCTAATTTGTTTATTTTTTTTTAATTGTGTTATAAAAGAAATTGTCGATTTATGGACGAGTACACGGAGGTAAGAACTAAGAAGTAAGATATTCACTCAAATCTGAATTGGGAAAAAAATGTTGCAACCTGACGCCACCTTCACTTCAGCAGCAGTGCAGTGCCAGTGGTTCACTGGTTGTGTACAAAGTCTATGGAGTAGGATGTAGACCCGTGGACGTGGCGTTGCCGTTGGAACTGTCGAGCGCAATTGGAGTCCCCCGCGCAAGTTTAAGCTTGCGCGAGGAACTCCCGAAGCACGCAAATTACACTGCGGCATTTTAATTTGCGTGCGCACGTTACAACTTGCGCAAACATGGCAAAGGCGATTGCAATTTGACATGTTCATGATGTTTGAGAACCTTGCGGGCGGGATTTTTATTGATGAAGAAAAAAAACGTTCAAAACACGAGGGCCTACATGGAGAAATGAAATTATTAAATAGGCCTCCGGCTACTCCTAGTCCTAGAACTATGAGGCTCCGCGTGAGCGGAGCCTCATACTTCTAGAAGCCCTCAAAATTGTCTGCAGCACAAAACACTAATAAAGTACAAAAACGTCCATCAAAATGCAGACATTTCACACAGAACCGCTGCACAGTTTGCCCCTATACTCCGTACTTTACCTCTTGACATACTCACGTATCATGGGCAGAACTAACATAGGTGGATTCTGTCGGTTTTTAGGCCAAAATGATGAAAAATATGCCCTTTCCGCATACTCCTAGAACTATGAGGCTCCACGTAGTGGAGCCTCATAGGTTCAGAAGCCCGCAAAATTGTTGTCAGCACAAAACACTAATTAAGTACAAAAACGTCCATCCCAAGCAGGCCGTTTTTCACAGAACCGCTGCACAGTTTGCCCCTAAACTCCATACAATACCTCATGACATACTCACGTTATGTGCACCCAACAAACATCGGTGGATTCTGTCTGTTTTTCGGCAAAAATGATGAAAAATATGCCCTTTCTGCACTGAGCCAACCTAACACTTGAAACGAGCACGCGTGCAGAATGATCGCAGTCATTTTCGGTTCGATCGCTCGGAGCGCGCCGCGGGGGGTATGGTGTAGGAGCGGAACGATAGTATGCGCATGCGTACAAGTGCAAGTACGTACCCCCCGCGGCGCGCTCCGAGCGATCGAACCGAAAATGACTGCGATCATTCTGCACGCGTGCTCGTTTCAAGTGTTAGGTTGGCTCAGTGCGGAAAGGGCATATTTTTCATCATTTTTGCCGAAAAACAGACAGAATCCACCGATGATTGTTGGGTGCACATAACGTGAGTATGTCATGAGGTATTGTATGGAGTTTAGGGGCAAACTGTGCAGCGGTTCTGTGAAAAACGGCCTGCTTGGGATGGACGTTTTTGTACTTAATTAGTGTTTTGTGCTGACAACAATTTTGCGGGCTTCTGAACCTATGAGGCTCCACTACGTGGAGCCTCATAGTTCTAGGAGTACTTTCCGCACTGAGCCAACCGAACACTTGAAACGTGCACGCATATGATCGAGAGATGATTTTCGGTTCGCTCGGAGCGCGCCGCGGGGGGTACGGTACAGGCGAAATGATAGTATGTGCATGCGTACAAGTGCATGTACCGTACCCCCCGCGGCGCGCTCCGAGCGAACCGAAAATCATCGCTCGATCATATGCGTGCACGTTTCAAGTGTTCGGTTGGCTCAGTGCGGAAAGGGCATATTTTTCATCATTTGGGCCTAAAAACCGACATAATTCACCTATGTTAGTTCTGCCCATGATACGTGAGTAGGTCAAGAGGTAAAGTACGGAGTATAGGGGCAAACTGTGCAGCGGTTCTGTGTGAAATGGCTGCATTTTGATGGACGTTTTTGTACTTTATTAGTGTTTTGTGCTGCAGACAATTTTGCGGGCTTCTAGATCTATGAGGCTCCGCTCACGCGGAGCCTCATAGTTCTAGGAGTAGCCTCCGGCCCTAATGGAATAAATTAATAACATTTTTAAATAACAAAGAAATAAATAAAAAGGAGAATTCAATTAGCGTCGATGAAAAGAAACATTGAGCATGTTGAGATTTAGCAGTGGCAGTGCTTATCAAAATATCAGAGAAGGCGGGGGCGGGGAGTACTCAGTACTCCTAGAACTATGAGGCTCCACGTAGTGGAGCCTCATAGGTTCAGAACCCCACAAAATTGTTGTCAGCACAAAACACTAATTAAGTACAAAAACGTCCATCCCAACCAAGCTTTTTCCCACAGAACCGCTGCACAGTTTGCCCCTAAACTCCGTACAATACCTCATGACATACTCACGTTATGTGCACCCAACAAACATCGGTGGATTCTGTCTGTTTTTCGGCAAAAATGATGAAAAATATGTCCTTTCTGCACTGAGCCAACCTGACACTTGAAACGTGCACGCGCGCAGAATGATCGCAGTCGCCGCGGGGGGTACGTACTTGCACTTGTACGCATGCGCATACTATCGTTCCGCTCCTACACCATAACCCCCCGCGGCGCGCTCCGAGCGATCGAACCGAAAATGACTGCGATCATTCTGCGCGCGTGCTCGTTTCAAGTGTTAGGTTGGCTCAGTGCGGAAAGGGCATATTTTTCATCATTTTTGCCGAAAACAGACAGAATCCACTGATGTTTGTTGGGTGCACATAACGTGAGTATGTCATGAGGTATTGTACGGAGTTTAGGGGCAAACTGTGCAGCGGTTCTGTGGGAAAAAGCTTGGTTGGGATGGACGTTTTTGTACTTAATTAGTGTTTTGTGCTGACAACAATTTTGCGGGGTTCTGAACCTATGAGGCTCCACTACAGTTCTAGGAGTAGGCGGGGAGGGGACCGGGCAGTTCAATAAACACAAAGATTGCTTGGAACATGTGGAAAGTGTACTTAAGTTGTTCAATAATTAATGGAGACCAGCTTCAACTTTTTGGCCTTGTAGTAAAACAAATTAGCATTTTATTTATATTCTTAAATATAAATAAATCACAATGTCCTATGTGTACCTGTTGTAATGTTAACGTAAAGAGAATGATTATGATCCACAATTCAAGTTTTGACGTAATAGTAATCGTTTACATTATTTTTAAAATGCTTTAAATTACATTACATGTACTGTGCAATTAATAAAGTACTTATTCTTAAAAAAAATTCTACTTAATTTAGCTTACATGCTTTAACTGAAGACCCATTCGAAAATGAAGACCCATTCGAACGTGTAGAAATTAGATTTTAACGTTTACTCTAATAAGTAATATAACTGGGCAAGTACCCTAGGGTCACTTGCGTGCCAAATTATTGGAGCCCTCCAACTCCGAGCTTTTAAAAAAAAAGATCCATTTTCTGAGGGCTTGTTTTTTTGGTTTCTATTTCCAGAGACTTTTGGAGAGGACACGGGCGAGGAGCGAGAACCTTGCCAAGAAGATGAGCCAGTCCGAGGTGTCGCCTCGCAAGAGACGGACTCCGCTGACGGATGTGAACTCCTCGGACAGCGAGGAGAAGAAAGTCCGATTGGATGGTCAGTACCGATAGCCATCCCTGGTTGAGTAGACCCTAGACTGATGAATAAGACCCAATCCAGTGGACACATGGGTAACAACACATGTGGCTCTCTACTCTAGTGCCTTACTGCATGTTCATGGGGTAGGGCTTCATGGTTTGGTCAGTCTATCAGCATGACGGGAGCTGCCAAATGGATGATATGCAAGCACCCTCAGAACAAGAACAACCTTGTTTGAGGGGCGGCATACCTCTTTCTTGTATTTCTGTGTTGCACATGTTTGAACAAATTCATCAAAGGTTAATACCAATGTGTACTCGCACCAGGTCATCATTTTTATTGAAAATTAAAGAAATTTGTCCATAAACAAGAAAATGTGCTTCTAACAGTGAAAGTCCTTGTGGCTCAGCAAATCTTTGTAAATAGAGCAAAGACGAGTTGAGAATATATCTTTAGTAACACCACGAACGGTCCCTGAGTTTTCTTGGTTACGCGCACTGTTAGTAATGCGTAATTTTGGTTTTCACAAACTGATACGCAAGTCTGAAACCTGTCTGAATTATTGAATTTCTAATGGACTAAGCATCTGTTAAACTCGAGATTGCTTTTTACCAGTAACCAGGTTTTTACGTTAAATGATTCTATAACCCCACAAGTACATGGATGGAGTAAAATTGTGTCAAACCTTTCAAAGGGTTTTCTTCTAATTGTACTTCCACCACAGTAATTGCGTGTCAGTTCATGAAAACAAAAATAATCATATGCGCAACGTCATGAAGTATGCACACACAGTGCGTGTGTCAGTTCGTGAAAACAGTGACGATATGTGGCTAGTAACCTGTTTATAGCTATGTGAAGCAGCTGTGTTAAATTCTGCCCACATTGTAACATGCATGAATCGCAATGTATTTTACAGGCCTGCTAAATATTTAAATAATATTGGATGGCTTTGAGGTGGATACAAGAATATATTGCACGAGGTATGACAATATTGCACGAGTCGAAGACGAGTGTAATATTGTCATAGTGAGTGCAATATATTCTTGTATTCACCGAAAACAAGCCATCCAATATTATAATTATTATTTATATCCGGCTGATTTGATCCACAAGAAGCACAACTCAAGACACTGTCTTCATTACATCCTTTTCGCTTACATCAAACGTTTTGAAGCTGCCACTGTAATTGTTAACAACAGTGCGCGTATACCTGGCCTTCTGCGCGCTGCATGCGCGCGGCGTGTTCCGTGTTCGACGGTACGCGCGCGCTACGCTCTGTTGAGTGGTTGACAACTGTGACTTTCTATGCTCTTGATCAAGCGGGAACCAGCGAAAATGCCCGGATGACTGCAATAATAATGTTATTGCAGTCAACCGGGTACTTTATTATTGGAGTCATCCGGGAAATTTTTATTAAAGCATACAATACGCTGATTTATTTTTACCGCTGGAAGCCTGATATAAATAATAATTCATTATATTAAAATAGAAAACTTGTATTTGTTTTAATTTTTTTTAAATTTGTTTATTAACCCTACAGCCTCTCCAGTGAAGTCAGCAGTGACGCGAGGCAGTGATATGAAGCCAGACACACCGGCTATACCCTCAGTCAGGTCACGCATGAGTAAACTGGCTGATATGAGAAGAGAATGGTCTACTGCAGGTGGGTCAAACCTGGACAAAGTCCAGACTCACAAAGGAAATCACTCCATTTCAACATCCAAACCCATTGGCATTGTCCTGTCGATACACAGGCAGTCCTCTTTTGCAGTCGTGGCTAGCGTCTTGTAATGTGCACAGCAAGTTCATCCTGCCTTTTTAATGAGAGTACATTTTGTTGACACCTTATAATACATAACCTCTGTCTTCCTTAACGGATAGTTCGGAAGTGTGTAGTGAAGGTGCATGTACGCCGGTGTTGCATCCTGGGACATTTTGCGCGACAAATGGGGATTTTGTACAGTGCAAACTGTCCCACAATGCACCGTAATGTACCGTCAGTAAAATAAGACAAAAGGTGATAGGGAAACTGCAAACAGGCGATGTCAGCAGAACTTCAAAGTCTGTGCTGGATTGGCTATGCCAGTCTTCCAGTTTGCTATACTTCCTCTTTACGCATACAGTATCCTGCTCTACATTTGCTGCATTTTCAATGCACCATTGTGATGCTTCTGTTGGGCTCAGTGGTCTTGTGTCAAATGAGAAGGCTGATGAAAAGGAGTGGCTCGTTTGCCTCAGTGTGATGACAGACTAGTGTATAGTAAAAAGGCTCCTAAGACACCTAAACAGCATAGGAATTGGTCACGGAAAGCCCTAAGTTTTTGTTTGGGAAAAGTCATGCAATTTCATCGTAACATTTCTGTGGAAACCCTGATTGATAACCACTGAGAAATACCATGATAAAGTTCTTTCAAGATGGCAGGAAAAATGAAGAAAACAAATTTGATTTTCATGTATATACAGACGGGTTAGAGCTGGACTCGCCCCAGAATGTATCAGCCCCTCGGCCACGTCAGCAGGAAGCTCCACCAAGCACGACTCCCTCTGCACCCAGCAGTAGGAAGAGCAGGTTTGCTGCCCTGGCAGCCAGCATCAATAACTGGGAGGACGACCTGGACCATCCCAAGCATCACTTCCAACATGAGGTGAGATTGTTAGAAAAGACATGTAGGAACATTTCAATTACCTGGAAACGTACCTACCGATTTAATGAGAAAATCCATGCTCAAAGTGAACATAGGACTCGTGCCAAAAACCTGTGAAATTTTTCCACCTGAAATGGTATCATTCGGAAGAAAACAATCATTGAACAACTGTGCCCACGAACACAGTTGTGCGTTAGCAATGAAAGCCAGTTACGAGACCTCAAGAATTGTGCATACATTTTCTCTGTTTTCTCAAAATGTATAATATCCACTAATACTATAAGGAGAAACCGTTCTTAAGATTTTGAGAAATGTTGTTGCCTCAAAAAAAAAAAAATGGCACAAAATGCAAATGGTCCTTTATATCTTTTATCAGAGGGTGACTAACATGTGTTGTAGCCGAGTCCATAAAAAGTCTCAAGTTCATCACGAATCAAGCACAAGTTATTTTTATTATTATTAATCATTTCTGTGGTAATGAAACCAAGGATTCCTCAAAAGTGCCCTAGGCACTGTAGCTCTTTTCCTGAAGAAACCTGTAGAGAGAAGACAATGAGAAGAAATTACAGTTTTAGAGGTGGGAGGAAAAGCCCAGAAGAATATTCTGGGAAAAACCCACAGAATCAGGCAGGGACTGAAAACCCAATCCACATGTTGGCCCAGGCGGGATTCGAACCTGGGTCACAGCGATGGAAGGCGAGGAAAGCTCCCCTTAAGTCCTCCAGACTCAAGCCAAGTCCCAAACTATTTAAATGAAATGTGACAAAGGGGTTGATAGATGTTCCAGGGTCATGCTGTACCAAATTATTCCACACCAAAACAAAATTGACACTTGAAACAGGAGCAAATTATTGACTGTTGCAGTTAATTATTTCGGTCAACTCAAGATCTAGTCAATGGAAAATTGATACACAGTCGGCCAAACTAAAATATGTTGGTCAACCTTCACTCCTATTTGGTCTGGTGCGACTGTATTATTTAGTCTGAAACAGTTGTAAGTTAGTGGGGGAAGCTCAAAATTGATTATAGTTTGGTTTGTCCAAGAAGTTTAAATACGCTTTCCCTGTGCCATTTTCAAGTTTCACCCCGAAAAAAGATTTGTTTTTTCAATTGCCGTTTTCAATTGACCTATCGTCGTTTGCGAGTTATCCACGCCCCTTAGACAACCCTATGGAATTTTGTACGTTCAGTTTTGTTTGTCTCGGATTCTGTGCGTTTCGCGTCCATTTGTATATCATGTAATTGGACAATATTTCACAAGCTGCATTGAAACGATTCTACCACGATAGGTCAATTGCCATTTTCCTAGCAATATAAAAGTTAGTCACTTTTGAATGAGACATCAAACAAACAAAAACCACCACCAAATATTTTTCGTTACAGAGTGCTAATTATTTGCGGCCTGACAAATATAAGTGAGGACGCCAAAAAAGGAGTACCCATGATTTTGTTCTGTACGTAATTATTATTATTCCTTTTTAATTTCATTCAAAGGAGAAGCCACAGACCAAAAAATGGGAGCGCCCTAAACCGGTTGAAGAAATTGCCAACGACCCTCCACCGCCAAAGAAAGACAACGGCATCCTGTCCATCACTCCCAAAAAGCCAGCCCGCAACGTGAGGTTTGAAGATGAGGAGGAAGAGAGTAATAAGCCATCCCTTGGGAATGGGCAGGGTAAGGCGCAGATGAGATCACTCCCATCCAGCGGCAGCCCAGCGAGGGAAAGGAATACCTCGGGGGATCCGAATAATGGGAAGCCTGATGGAAGAGCCGAGCTGAGATCCTTGCCAACTGGCAATAGCCCGGTCAAGGGCATTGCTTATTCCAGACTGGTGGAAAAGAGTTCTCTCCAGTTCGGCAGCAGCCCAGCAAGGGAAAGGAATATCTCTGGGGATCCGAAGAACGGGAAACCTGATGGAAGGGCCGAGCTGAGATCTTTGCCAACTGGCAGTAGCCCGGCCAAGAGCAGTGCTTATTCCAGGCTGGTGGAGCAGAAACAAGACGGGGCAAAGTCACTGTCCAAGTCAGCTTCTGGAGGCACGCCTGGGAGGAAACGCATTCAGGTGTCCCTGTCCCGTGAGAGAGAGCCTTCTAGAATGGAGGTTCAGAAGCATTTTGCCCAAGAGCAGCAGCAGCAGCAACCAACTCCCAAACCCAGAGCAGCACCAGCAAGTACTGTCGCCGCCACCTCCACAGCAACTCAGCAGCCGAAGTCTTCCATCAAGCGGCTCGCACCACAGCCTGAGCAAGCCGTCAAGAAACAAGCCCTTGCAACTGAAGCCGACGCAGACCCAACCCCCAAGGAGGGAGCCGCAAGCGTCAAGGCCTACTTTGGGAGGCACAAGACGGGCGCTGCTCCAGCATCGCCGACCTCCAGCAAAGTGGAGCCAAGGGTGGGTGCTATGGCCAAGTCCATCCAGGACAGGCTTCGCCAACATCAGGAGAACTGGCACAGCAATGATATCAATACAAAGATCCAGGTAAATACTTCGTTTCAATAGTGGTGAAAGAGTGAATGAAAATAAATAGCCCTAACCCTCCCAGATCTTCAAAATCTATCAGGAAAGTTAAAAATTAGGAAGGATAGCAAAGCCACAATCATCTTACATGGACTTGGTACCCATTGGAATTTAGTGTACAATTAATGCGGGCCACTAAAGTTCAAGGAGAGAGGTTGATTTTGGAGGATTAACGATGGTTCCTTGCAAAAAACTTTATGCAATGGTCAGTTCTTACGAAGCTACAAAATCACAGAATTCAAACAGTGAGATACAAATGCCCTATTTACGAAACCACAAAATTCTGTTTCAGGAGCAAAGAAAAAAAGAGTTGGATATCATCCGGCAGAGGTGGAACCACTCCGGCAAGACTGAGCCTGCCAAGGAGGAGACTGAAAAGGAACAGCCTACGGTAAGAATCTATCATGGTCAGGGGAGGGGAGGATGTGACCAGGGGCTGAGCACTGTGAATGTTGCTTTAGGAACTCTTTGCACAAGTAACCCCTCACTCAGTTAAAGAGAGTGAGTTAATTAAGGCCGCTTCATACTCAGCACCAACAGGAACTTAAATTTGTGACTTCACGACAAGTATTCGTGCTGCCAATTTGCAAAACTTTAACACATTTCAACTTTGCAGGAAATGTTTCCTGATGTCGAAATTCACTTCACATTCGTGAGAAGTATAAACAGGCGTTTAGAAGGGACTTTAATGCACTACCATCATAATGCACTGCCATCTACTGTCTATGCATGAAGGCCATAGAGTATGCACTCTACTTTCTGAATAGAAAACTAAAATACAAATATTTTATAAGAAACAAATCATTTGTACTTTGTAGAATACAACATCGCGCCAGTGCAACAAGGTCGTAACTTCCTCTTCACCAAAGTCGTATCCCGCACGAAATGCGCTCCGTGCAACAAGGTCGTATCTCGACGTCCATTGACTTTGTGTGTACATCCGGGTTATTTTAAGTGAGATACGACCTTTTGACACTGAAACTTGTGTTTCACGTATGGCCCATATTAGGAGATACGATCTTATGGAAGGAAAACGATGATAACAGGATTTTGGTTAATAATGTCGCCTATCTTATGTGGCTTTATCACCATTTTTTTGTGTACAGCCAGTTATCTTGTAATATTTGTCTTACGCCAATAAACAAGTTGATACTAAATTTTGCTGAATGCACAGCCCATGCCCAGGGTGACCATCGCTCGCTCCGTCCCTGAGCCTGAAGTGAAGCAGGATGAGCTGGATGACCCGATGGAGGTCACGGAAGACACCATCAACATCGGAATGATGGAATCATCCATTGAGGGCAAGTCATCCTCAGATGAAGAAGAAGAAGAAGAGATGATGTCCGAAAAGGAATCTGCAGTAGTTGTTCCTCAGCAAAAAGTGGTGATGGCTGGGGGCTCAGGTCAGGGAAATGGTTCAGCAACCCCTCTGGCACCTCCAAGAGAGAAAGCCGTCGCCAAGACTACCCAACAGCCCCAGGAGACGGGACCTGCTACCCCCCTGGCTCCTCCCAGACCTCGTCGAACAAACAGCAAGCTCCTCGCCGAGGAGGAAGCCAGTGAGTTAAAAAAGTCCTTCTTTTCCCCCCGTGTTTTTAAAATTCTTTTTCTAGCAATACAACTGCTAAGAAAAGAACTATACTTAGTTGCCTTCTCCATGCTATTCAACAAATGATAAAAAAAAAATATTTTAATACATTTTCAACTTGCCTGTTTTTTTTTCCAACCAAAAAAATACCTTTTTCCTTTTTTGGACGTCTGCAACGCTCTGAAAAAAATGTGGCCTTTTTTGGGCACAAACAGATCTCCACTTTGCGAGCAGACTGGCTCCCGGTCCGTACATTATCAAGACTGATTTGTGGGATGGGAACCAGCCTATCCTGCGAGAACAGAATCATCATCTGGCAGCCAGTAATTAGAACTAGTAAAGTAATAACTCATTAACCCTAACGTACCTGAATCCATCAAAATCCACACCCCTATTTCGGGGGATTTCGGTGGATTCAGGATACCTCCATATTGCACAAACTGGGGGATTTTGATGGATTCAGGATTGTTAGCCTAGCGGAACTGCAGGATTTTGATGGATTCAGGATACATCTAAATTGAGCTGTTGGGGGACTTTCGCGGATTCAGGATCTCACCAGATTTACTCCCTCCTAACTGGTGGATTCTGATGGACTCACTGGCCATCAACATTTTTTTGAATGGCAAAATTGATGGATTTTGGCGGATTCAGGATACTTTCTAGTAAAAGAGCCCCAGGGGTTAGGGTTAATGCAACACGGGCCGATATTTTTGGTTGATATCTCATTCAAAACTGAATAACTTGTAGCAATTTAGAAAAGGAAAATATTTTTCAGGATGAAAATTTTTAAAATGGCATTGTGAAAGCAACTTTAAAAACAGTCTTCCCATTTTTTTTTTAAATTTTAGAAGCACAACAGGAAGCCCTTTCCAAACATCCACATCGCGAGGATAGCGTTGATGATGATGATGACGCAGATGACGAATATGATGAGAGTGATGATGATGTTCAGGAGTTGGACATCACCGACGTGCTGGGGGACATTGACGATCTGCTGGACGAGGCTGAACAAGCCATGGAGGCAGAAAAACAGACTGAAGCCCCTGCCCCAACCAAGAGACAGGAACAGGTGAGGACTTAGTCTTGCTCCCAGACGGAATTTGGACTTTGGTCCCCCGATGCAGCCAGTTCCAGTCCCTGACAAGCTCAGTCAATCTGCTGTAGTGGTAGAGAACACTTCCAACAACATGAATCCAATCAAGTCTTGAGAACTGTGGTGCTTGGCCTCTGAGCATTGGTCATTCAAGCTAATGCATGCGCATGAGGTATGCTATGAATGTCATTGGGTTCGAGTGCCAAAGTTCCCGAAATTCAATTTGATTCAACTTGATGATTGTGCCTTCTACCACTGCAGTGGCTTGACCGCACTTGTTAGATCTTAGAGGATTTAGAAAGGTTCCAGTATAAAAACATGTACGAGCTTATCACCTATTAAATCCGTTAACATAGTCCTTCTTGCCATGCAGCCTGCCGCACCACGAGCAGTAGCCCAGAAGCCACCCTCTGGTCATGAAGCCCGTCCCCAGCCCAGCACCACCCAGTCACCCAACCTGTACAGCATTGAGTCCTTCCGCAAGCAGGGTCCCAAGTCCCCGGCGGCTGCCAGGACCATCATAAGGAGCGACAGTGGTACTGTGGAGGCCGGCCAGGGGGTCAAACCCGTGGCGCTGAAGCCCATACCAATCAAGGCACAAATACAGGTCAGTATGTGGTAGTCATTAATCTTGGTTCAAGATTGGATTTGGATCTGATGGGCTATGCGCAAACAAGAGAGGGCGCTTTTTGACCTTCGAGAGCAGTGGATGGGACACACTGCGTTCCCATACTGGTTCACTTGCGTAAAGCGCGAAGCACGTATGATTTATTTATTCTGAATGTGCACAAAACCATAGCATCTTCGCGTGAGCATCTGGTGTTGTCGGCAGTGCATTCAAATGCATCTCCCAATGGTCTCCCCGACCCAACTGTCTCTTTCTTACCGTTGAGGGCGTACTTGTGCATGGAGCCCATTACCCCAATGCAGCTGCTCCCTGACAAGCGCAGTAAAGCCGCCGCGATGGTAGAGGTCACTATTAACAACATGAATCAAATCCAGTCTGGGGTAGTTTGGCAGCCCTGCCCAGAACATTCCAAGCATACCTCATGTGTGCACTGTATTCAAGCTATTACGTGTGCGGGAGTTTTGCTTAGAATTTCCTGGGAAGAACTGCGAGACACACATGATATATCACGTGACATTTTGCTAATCAAATGTTTGTGCCTAGCAGCTCCTTGTAATTGACCATGGATCTTGTTAACGTCTATGGTCACTGTACCTGTGAATTGTCTCGGGTGTCAATCTTTATGTTAGAGTGGTAGAGGATATTAACCCATTAGCAACTGTACTACAATGTATTACATTGTGTTTATTCACTGAGGAAAACCGCCCAGGGCTCAAGCGGTTTCGTGACCAGTGGGTTATTTCAAGTATCACATCCCATCAAACTGATCAAATTGAGGCTATTCAAAGGAAAATTTGCCAAATACTTCTTGTTAACAATTATGCAAGTAATGATAAAGCTGTGGCTTCATTGGGAATTCAGTCTCTACGCGATAGACTGACAACTTTTTGTCAAGAGTTTGCTCTGAAAATGTACAAGTCACGTAATTTCAGTTAGTGGTTTCCAGTGTCGAAAAGGAGCCACAATATGGGTCTTAGATCTTGCCGCACAGTAGATGAACAAACTAGCTCATCAAACAGATTTAGGAACAGTACAGTGCCATATCTCAATAGAACTCTGAACCAACTGTTAGTCTAAATTGTGGATTGTGACTATTTTATGTACTTGAAACCTTTTATCCTGGTGTGAGTGATTACGCGACTGTGTTTTGTGGGGGTGAATTTTCAATGTGGGTTTTAAATAAGCATTTCAAAAATTATTCAATTAATCTTAATTGAAGTAAACAATGTACTTTAAAATTAATGTGTTTTTATGGTAAAATTGTAATCCACCGTGCAGTTTAGCTTTTGGGCTACTAAATGAGTTGGAAAATAAACCAGTAATAGTAATAATAACAATTGTGCCTTTGTGTATCTATTATGCAGACCCTGATTGAGGAAGTGTCCACCCAGCAGAGTATCATCTATCAGACCAGTCAAGCCCTCAACCTGATAGCATCCAGTGTGGAGTATAAAGGGACCAGGCAGGAGGTAGAGGCTGAGAGATTGCTGCTTATTGCAGGTGGGTCAAAGAAACTAACAACCATGGGCTGAGGTAGAAAATACATAATATTGCTTTCTGCTTAAATGCAGAGATATATGAAAGATATCAACTTTTTCTCCATGATATACCGGGAAAAAAATGCCTCTCCTAATCTCTCCGTGGGAACACTGTATATGGATCCTTCGTTTCTTTTGTTTGTTTTTTTAATTATTTAGTTATTTATGTTTGTTTTTGCTAACTGCAGCTCAGAGGCGCCAAGCCTGCTTAGCTGAGATCCAACGTCTGAAGACGCCAGCCAGTGTGCGGGAGCCCAGCGCCGTGATGCAGACCGCAGAGGGTGAAGCCATGAGGCCTTGCAAAGGTTTTGTCTCTATACAAGACATACGGCTACCACTCAAGACGGAATATATCCTGTCCTCCAAGCAAGGTACAGATATTACTTCTGATACAACTCAAGTGAAGTTTGGATTGAAATAACGTTACTTTCTAAATTTCCATCAGTTGAACAATTTGCGCTAGATGCATAAATTGTAAGGGGGAGAGATTACAGTCGAACTCCAGACATTGACATTCAATATAACTTTCTGAATGGCTCTTTAAAAATCTGTTGTAGATGTACTATTTATTCATTTAATTCATGCACAACAGTATTTTAAGTAATTCGGGTACCAAATAAGGTGAAGTTTAATTTAGTGACATGGTTGCCATCTGAGTGTGCTATAAATCATTTTCCTTGTATACTGGCTGAAAAATTTTCAATTTTAACCAGTTGGTCTAAATACCCCCCCTGTCCCAGTTTGTCATGTTGACAGCAGATGAACACGTAAACTACATGAATTTCTAGCATTTGTTTGGTATTAAATTCTCATTCCTCAGTCTTATGCTACGTCCAAATTGCTTGGCTGTCATATAAAATTTGGACTCCTAAAAAAACTTGCCTCTTATACCTTATGTGGACTCTAACCCTCACACATGGCCTGTCACTGTGCAATACAACCAATGAGTTTGTATTTCACAGTCAACATTTCACACTACACCAGCATTAAGCACATGTGCCTATTAGAAGTGGCTGTGAAATAGCCAAGTAATTTTGAAGTGGTCTAACTTCAATAAATTGTTTTGTATATTTTTCCTGTTTCACAATTTCCATCTCTGCCTATTGTACTTCAGCTGTTATTTACACTAACACATGTTCTGCCCTGTATATTGTTTCCTCCTCCCTACAGATCGCATGTGTCACTCCTTCTTCCTTCTACTGCGCTGCAGAGAGCACGTCCTTGCCACTCGCATCCAGACTACAGTCGATGGAGTCGCTGGTGATTGCTTGCCATTCACCAACATCGCCAAATTGTAAGGCAAAGAAGCTCTTTCATAGTAAAGTCTTTCTTGTCCATAGTTTACTTTCTTATTTAGAATTTTCCAGTTCTTCCCTTCTAGTCCGTTCCCTATTGCTTAATTTTAGTTTTTAACATTCTCAACATTTGGTCTAAAAGTGTTTCTGAGGGCCCAATATTTCTGGTTTCCGGTCCTATGTTACCCTGATAATTGGTGTGGTGTCTTTCCCTTTTTTGTGTGGGGGTGTGTTACAAGTAACCAAATATGCATATAAAGTTTTTCCATACACGGAGAGGTTGAGTTGCTCCACTTAAATCAGGCAATTGACCTATTGCATTAGAATCGCGTCAACGCAGCTTGTGAAATATTGTCCAATTACATGATACACAAATGGACTCAGAACGTGTAACATCTGAGACAAACAAAACTTAGTGTACAAAAACTCCATAGGGTTGTCTAAGGGGCGTGGCCAACTCTCAAACGGTGATAAGTCAATTGCTTGTAAGGGCCAAGTCACATGAGAGAGCAGACAAGCAACTTTTCCTCAGATCAGTTGATTTCCTTGTTTTTACATAGAAAACACTGTATAACAAATCTTTTAAAGCTTGTAGTTTTACGGGTTTTTTTTACTTCTTGGTTGCATGCCTGTGGAAATTTACCTCAGCATCTTGGCAGGAACCATATTCACCACAAGCCAAAAGCAGTGCATCTTTCCAACAGTTTATGGAAACTCCTCAGAATATTACAAAATGATTACAATCAATTAAAAAATGTGTCTGGTTGTTTTTTTCTTGGACAATGCATCAAATAAGTTACAAGTACATTTCCTGGTGTGACTTTACTCATTCAAAAAAAAAGTGTGAAAAACCCATGTTTTTTACATGGTTTCACAAATTCTCCCATTTTTATCCGTTTTCAGCAACAACCTGGACAGCGACTTTGTGATTGAGGCCTTTGTCTTTGAGATGCAGAACAAGAGGCCCAAGGCAGCCGAGGAGAAGAGCAAACAGACGTTCTTCTCGGGTCTGACTCCCAAGAAGATACTGGCCAATATGTCCAAGGATTCCAGGGTGGGTGTTCATAACCATAGAGCTTTATTCATTTACTAGTGAGATAACGCCTCATTCCCTCACACGGAATGCTTGCGTGCCTTTAGTGAGCTCAAACATTTTGAGTTGATGTTCGTGATCGTAGAACATGTTGGTTTAAAGGTTATGACACCATTTGCCAAAACAAGGGGGGGGGGAATTGAAGGAACAATGGTACAATCAATCTGAAGCAGTTTATTTAAAAAAAACTAACCTATTTCGGCTCATAGATATTCTTTTGAAAAAGCTGTGAAAAAAGAATCTTCATTTTTGCTTGATGTAAAGTATAGGTTTCCATTGAAAGTGCGATAGTTTGGTCCTAACCATCGCAAGGAACTGATGGTAATTCCTCTTCTCGAAAAAGACAGCATACTAGGCACAACAATCTCACGGGGTGCATGATAGTATTATTTACTTACAATCAAGTAGGATACTTCCAATGATATTTTGACATATTCATTTTTGAAGTTTGCAAACCTTTAAGACAGAAAGGAGTTTTTCGAGTGAGCTGTAAATGAAAGTACGACTGCATGATGACTGCATTAGGGCCGTTTCATAAAGTACAAAAAAAATCCTCAGGGGTGCTTTTTGGAACATTCGACAAGTTTTCCTCGTACATAAACAGAGTAGGATTACATCATGATTGCACTGCGGTAAATTATTTTATCATTGCATTTCTTTGTTTTATTTATTTGGTTGTTTTTCTTTCTTTCTTTTTTTTCAGCAAGGGATGAAGACCCCCATTGCCCCCAGCCCCGGTGGGCCAGGCTATGTCCGTGCCAGTAGCTTCACCTTGGTTGGTGCTGCCAGACTGACCCTCCAAAGCTGCAGAGTCAACAGGTTCACGCTCAGCAAGGTAAGGAATGGACATCTCTATTCAAACTCTAGGCGCATAATCTTGAACGTGACCATGAATACAATATGTTGTGCATTGCTTGTATTCACAACTTGGGCGAAAAAAACTGTAATTAAAGGGAATGTACATCATTGGCTTTTGCTATTAAATATTGTTACACTGACATGTTTGAAGTTTTGTGTTCGAAAATGCTGGGAAAAAAACAAGAAAAACAGAAATGTTCAAGTAGTCTGGTTCCCTGACTCAATTAAAATTGAAATGGATCAATTTATAGATGCCGAAAAATTGCGAGGTAAGGGAACCAGTCTAGCTGGCCTGCACTCGTTCATGAACATGTAACCAATAGCAAACACAATTTGAACTGAAACAAATGGTAAATTTGGAGCAGTTGAAAAAATAGTTAGGTTTTTCCAACGGAGGTCGGCCGACCACCGTTGGAAATGAATACAAAAACACCATTTTCTTGAAAATGACTTCACACCAGGTGCCATAATTTTACAGGATGCTTTAGAGTGTCATTTACCAACATCCTAGTTAGGTATTTCGTAAAAACTTGGTAGTTTTATTTTTCAGTGTTTGCAAATGTTGTATTTTCCCTTTAACTCTTGAGTATTTTCGTGTTTGTATCCGAGATGTTGTCAAATCCTCGCCCCCTGTTACTTGTTACGTGACTTGTGATTTGGCTTGTAATGTACCGAATTACAACTCTGGAAAACGTGGAGTTTCATGCACCCACATTGGGAAACGGTTTATGCACATATATTTTGCACACATTCATTTGGAAATTGACTACTTTAAGATCAGTGCATTCAGCTTGAAGAAAGAGTTTTGTCGGTGTAATTTGTTGTTACGGTTCATATTAAGGGTTAACAACATTTATTATGTGAAATACAACTACCGGTTCTACTGAACTCTGATTTATAAAACTAATCGACCATTATTTGGTTTCATTTTAGGTTCCATTCAACTCGCCTCTAGAGGGCACTCTCCACCTGAAGATGACCTGCCACACCAACGCCAACGTGACGGAGAGTGGCTGGCTGACCATGTTTGATGACATCAGCGGCTTTGGGGCCTGGCACCGGCGCTGGTGCGTTCTGAGCGGGGGCTACATCTCCTATTGGAAGTATCCCGATGACGAGAATCGCAAAGTGAGTTTAGTATCTATTGCAAGATTTTGCTGTCAAACTTATGTAATTAGGCACTGGTTCAGCTATAAGGACTCACATTCCAGCAAATGCCTTGTTTGCATTGGACTGAAGTCTGTAAAAAGTTAACATAAGTGTTTGTCGACAATCTATTCTGGTTAGTCTTCCATGCTTCGGCACTTAGTTCAATTTGGCCAGCAGCAACTCATTCGTTGTGTAAACTTTACCATACTCTGCTACGTGACATGGGTGCATCATTCTCCGTGCACAATCAAAACTCCTTATCATTGTCACAAAATCACGGACCACAGCAGAAATATGGTAGAATTTCATGCACAGTGTGTAGGCCTAGAATAAAATGGCACTTATGTGAATTGCAGAGGTCAATTTTAGTGGCTGAGCAGGCTGACACAAAAGCGATCGAAACTTTTTCAAAGGTTTACATAGCAGTGGCCGTCCACACGGGACTATTTAGTGAACGTTGAAAATAACAATGTAATTATTCTTCCGTGACTAAATTGGCCCTGAAAAGCTCGCTGCTGCAAAGCACAAAACTTACCATCAGTGATTGGCAACTTTACCGAAAGTTTACCGGCTGGACTTGATTTGATTCAATTTACAACAGTCTCTGTAAGTTTAACCCACAAAGGTCCAATGTGAACACACCGCTAAAGATGAAGAAACTCACGAGGGAATGGTGTTCCCTTGTTAAAATGACTGGAAGAACCATTTTGTGAGGACCAATATATTGTACTTTGTACATAATTGACAATTTAGTACCCTATCCGAAATCTGATTTTGATACCCAACAAAATGACAACTTTCCTTGATACAAGCATTTTGATTTCGAAAGGTGTTATTTCTTTTCTTCTTTTTTTTCTTCTGTTTTTAAGCACTTTACTTTTCAGGTAACAAGTGTTAAAGTTTTCATCTGTATTTTGATGAACTAGGCCATGGATTTTCATAATTAGGTCATGGAAAAGTCATGGAATTTTAGGGTTAGCTCGGTGGTCGAGTGGTATTAGACATCTGCACTTGAAAGCAGGAGGTCGCGGGTTCGAGTCCCACCCGAGTGATTTTTTCCAACTTTCACTCTGGAGGTAACACACTGATTATACAGTGTTTATACGTCGGTGAAAGGCAAAACCTAATTTGATTTTCATGGAATGTTATTGTCCTAAAGGTGCAGGAACCATGTTTAATGTTCGTAATTGCTCTTTAAGTTAATTAAAATGTGTAAGCTTACTATAGACCCGTAGTGTGGTAATAGTGCTCATGAAATTCCAAACATTTAGTTTTATTTTTTGTCTTGTCTCTCACCCAGGCTCCAAACGGCACCGTAGACCTGAGAAAGTGCATCACCACTGAAGTGGCTCCCATCTCACGCATCCTGTGCGCCCGACCCAACACTTTTGAGCTGGTAACCCGCCAAGCGGCCTCCAAAGCTGTCCACCAAAGCAGGGACACGCTGGTCACCAAACACGAACACTCCGCCGTCACCACAAAGTCAGTCTTAGGCAGTTTCCTAATTACTTGGATAGGGCTAGCAGTAACACACATGTCTATGGGAGCCTGGCCGCAGCCGCTTCCATAAACGCATGTGTAATATGCAATTCATGTAGCCATCTTATTTAAACACATAGCCAAAGTTTGAACGTTGCTTTCAATAATCTTGACTACAGTTTAACAAATCAAGCTCATAATTTATCTTACCATCACTTCATTTTTTTCAGCCCTAAAAAGCCATCAATATTTTATCCGCGAATGCCAAAGAACTAGGCAGGTACCGATACACATTTGAACTAACCCCCTATCAATCTATGCATGGTCTTCAGGGTACCTGACAATGATGTCATGAGGTTGTCTCACAACAGCATCTGATTTATTTCTAATCATGATTTTGTTTCTCCCTCCCTACCTCCCCCATCCCCTCAGGCATATGCTGTCTGCAGACGTCAAAGAAGATCGCATCCGATGGATCAACGCTTTGAACAAGACACTCCTGGATCTGAGAACATGGAACCGAGACGCTGCCAGGCCCAGCTCATCTTAGTAAAATACCCCAAGTGAGCCTTACAGTATAATTGACCTCAATCCAGGTAATTACATGCTACAATATGACCCTGTTTGGTGTATTAAAAACAACTAGGTTGAACTTTATTATTGGGGTCCAATCCGGACTATTTTAAACTAATTGGCCTCATTCTACATGTAGAAACCCTAATTATTTGTCCAAATACGACCCTGTTTGGGATATATAGTGGCTGGACTAAATTGCTGATTATAAACACTGAATTAGGTCAAATATAACCAGAATTTGTTTAAGCTTATTTGTAATATTAACAACCTATGTTTATAGCAAAGTTTAGAGGTATCAACAAGAAATATTAGGAAACTGTGTTGTCAGAGCAATAGTGGTCAAGTAAAATGAAAAAAAAATGTGCATGGAAAGCTGAGAAAATATCCAGCAAATTTAAAACAAAAGCTTAAAAGGCTGTTAATCCTGAAAACTAATGAAAATACATACAAATATGACACTGTACTAAACATGTTTCTATTAGAAATACTACCTAGTGTTGAGGTTGGTAGGCAATGCATACGACGCATGAGCTACATTTGTAGTACTCCGAACAAATGTTATATTTTTTTGTATATATGTGCATGAAAATTCTGCTTCCGTGTAATATTCAGTGTTTGCCTAATTACACTTGGTAATATTTTAGGTTGCTCTTACTAATACATTTACATTTAAATATTAAAGATATTTTTAATTGAGCGTCAATATTGAGAAGATTTGTATTCCAAATTTGATCTACATTTACATGTACTCAGTTGTTTCATTGTATATTATACTCTTAGTTTGGAGCATCGGTTGTTTATAACGATCAAATTCATGGAAGAAATTCATCAAGAAGGAATGACATTTAGGTACATGTACTTTCAGAAATTACTTTTATGGCTTTTCTTACATTCGAAAATGTCACTAGCATTTATGTATTCATTAGAAGTTCCATTTACATACATGTACTTACTGCACATTAACTTTGTTTTCTCATAAGCAGAATATGTATATTTGCATAATTAAGTTAGCATGGTATACTCAGTAACTGACTTCAAATTTAGAAACTTCAATGTGCCTACATGTACTATCCATAGACATGATATTGATGCATCTTTATGCATGAACATGTACATGTACAAACAATGTAGTAATGGGCTGAAAAAATGGAGGGGAAAATACATCGAAAAATCCTGTTTTGTGCGACAAATGTTCAGGAAATTCCCTTGAGTAATTGTGTCATGTTTATGTAACTACAACATGTACATGTAACTGGTGATGTTTGATTGTTCAGTTGTTTAATCGTTAAAAAAATAATAATTTATAAATTTATATAATTTTCATTTAGCCAATAGCAAATGTTAGTATGAAATTTTAAAGTCATTGTGATATGTTTGATAATATTTTGAAATCAAATGCAAGTATCATTTAATTTTTTTTAAAGTAAATATATAACGAAGAACATTTAAGACTTTGGTGGTCTCATTAGTTTATTCATATATCGTGGTATCATTTGCATGTAACAAGGTCAAATTAATACTTAGATGACAGGTTTGTTGCTTTAAAAAACAACCTAAATACCAAGCAAATTACACTCAAAATAGCAAATTCGGTTGCATATTGTTGTTGCAAAAAGGGTTACATCCTGAAGGTGTTTTTTTTTTTTTTTTGACATTTCATGTTTGAAGCGCGGCCATATATTTCACGTCGATGCATGAGCTTGACGCTAAACTACCTGGTTTTGTCAGTGTCAAAAGTGCCGTTTGTGGAAGATTTCAATTTTACTTGAATGACACATTCTTGTTAGCCTGTTGCATCCACACTGTCTTGTAATTTAATTCCTAATTATCCATTCTTTCATAAACTGTATATAGCATGTACAAAAAGTAGTCTGCATATTTAACCTTTTTTTATTATTCAGAATCATTAAATATACTCTTCCGTCATACGTACTTAGGCGTTAAGCTTAATTTTGTTTGCTTCTAATGGTGAAATACGTAGACTTATGGAAAAGGGTAGAAAATGCAATAAATGGTAATCGTTTCATATAAGTATGTCTTCAATTTGACCAATTTTGTCCATTTAAAAATCAATTTCAATAGCTTTAACTGCAAAAGCAAGGGCAACCCCTTGCAAAATATCAAAATCATAAAATTGTGAGGAAGTCATAACTTTACATGCAAAAAGTAATTAAAAAAGCAGCTCATATCGTTAACTATAATATGGTTGAAGGCAGTCACTAAAGGAGGCTTGTTTTCAAGCAAAATTGCAGTTGGGGTTTGTTAACCAGAAAATAAACATTTTATGGGTATTACTGAATTTGAAAGTTGTAAACTTTGATCGATGATCGAAGTCGTCTCTGTTGAGAACTAATTTGGAGCATGTCCGTGATGTAAGCAGGAGCTTGTTTCCAGTACGCTTTAAACATTAGAATGATGACCTTGTAGTTGATTCTTTGTGTGATTGGAAGCCAGTGTCATTTGATAAGTTCAGGAGTGATGGAGTCAAACTTCCGTTTGTTTGAAATTACTCTGGCAGCAACCGCTGAACATTGTCAAGCCTCTTTTTCAGTTTCTGACTGATACCAATCAAGAGGCTGTTACAGTAGTCCAGTCGTGATGTCACCAGAGTGTGTACTGCTAACTTGGTGGCCTCCACAGTCAGCAGTTTACAGGCCCTACTAATGTTGATTAGGTGGAAATTTGCAGCTTTGATGATACTGGACACCTGAGCAGACATAGTCATCCCAGAGTCAAACATGACCCCAAGATTCCTGACTGGATTAGCTTGGACAGGGACGTCAATTCCAGCAACTTTCAGAGATGACAGGTTAAACTTGGCAAGTTGAGCCCTGAAACCAATTACTAATACCTCTGTCTTGTCGGCGTTGAGTTTGAGGAAGTTTGATGACATCCAGTCTTGCACATCCATGATACAACCCTCTACTCTTGACACACTCTGTGAGACCTCATTAGGTGTAACAGGGCAGATTGAGATGTAGATCTGTGTGGCGTAACAGGGCAGATTGAGATGTAGATCTGGGTGTCGTAACAGGGCAGATTGAGATGTAGATCTGTGTGTCGTAACAGGGCAGATTGAGATGTAGATCTGTGTGTCGTAACAGGGCAGATTGAGATGTAGATCTGTGTGTCGTAACAGGGCAGATTGAGATGTAGATCTGTGTGTCGTAACAGGGCAGATTGAGATGTAGATCTGTGTGTCCTAACAGGGCAGATTGAGATGTAGATCTGTGTGTCCTAACAGGGCAGATTGAGATGTAGATCTGTGTGTCCTAACAGGGCAGATTGAGATGTAGATCTGTGTGTCGTAACAGGGCAGATTGAGATGTAGATCTGTGTGTCGTAACAGGGCAGATTGAGATGTAGATCTGTGTGTCGTAACAGGGCAGATTGAGATGTAGATCTGTGTGTCGTAACAGGGCAGATTGAGATGTAGATCTGTGTGTCGTAACAGGGCAGATTGAGATGTAGATCTGTGTGTCGTAACAGGGCAGATTGAGATGTAGATCTGTGTGTCCTAACAGGGCAGATTGAGATGTAGATCTGTGTGTCCTAACAGGGCAGATTGAGATGTAGATCTGTGTGTCCTAACAGGGCAGATTGAGATGTAGATCTGGGTGTCCTAACAGGGCAGATTGAGATGTAGATCTGTGTGTCGTAACAGGGCAGATTGAGATGTAGATCTGTGTGTCGTAACAGGGCAGATTGAGATGTAGATCTGTGTGTCGTAACAGGGCAGATTGAGATGTAGATCTGTGTGTCGTAACAGGGCAGATTGAGATGTAGATCTGTGTGTCGTAACAGGGCAGATTGAGATGTAGATCTGTGTGTCGTAACAGGGCAGATTGAGATGTAGATCTGTGTGTCGTAACAGGGCAGATTGAGATGTAGATCTGTGTGTCGTAACAGGGCAGATTGAGATGTAGATCTGTGTGTCCTAACAGGGCAGATTGAGATGTAGATCTGTGTGTCCTAACAGGGCAGATTGAGATGTAGATCTGTGTGTCCTAACAGGGCAGATTGAGATGTAGATCTGTGTGTGGACAAAACAAGTCATTTAAATTTATTCTCAAAAATATCACATCAAAACTTTAATATTATCTTGACCCCAATAAAGACTGGATAGCGGATATCCATACACCATTCACACAGTTGACTTTGCATATTGACCAATTCGCCCCCGGTCTTACGAAGAAGGCTGCGTATAATACAAACGTTCTACGTGTAGTTATACAGCGTGCGTTGTATCAACAGTTGACGCGCATTTTGGTCACGTTCACATATGATGTTCTAAAAAGGACACATTTCCGCGTTAATTATTATTTACAAAACGCTGTGTCCAGAATTGTGCCTGCGCTGGGTTTAGAAAAGGCAAATATGTCCGCGGGTGGCGTGTTTACCAAAAATAAACCGCAATTCCACACTTTCGTTGAAAACATTTTCAGTACGAACTCCCTGTGTGAAGGAAATGTTTTCAACGAAAGTGTAGAACTTGTGGTTTATTTTCTGTAAACATGCCACCCGCGGACATATTTGCCTTTTCTAAACCCAGCGCAGGCACAATTTTGGACACAAGGAATATGTAAGCGAAATTTCAGCTTCCTCCGTCAGGTAAAAATATGAAGAAAATGTGTTATAATTTTTTTCGCTTTGGTGGTAGAATTACCAGTAGTAGTACTAGTACTAGTAGAATTTATACCCTGGACGTCAGTCGTAATGCAATGAAGACGTCATCCAACCTGGGCTAGGTATTCGCTAGCCCCCAGGTTGGACGACGTCTTCATTGCATTACGACTGACGTCCAGGGTATAATTCTACTAGTACTAGTACTACTACTAGTACTAGGCCTACCATAGCGACCATATGTACAAACATGTACACATACGTCTGTACGCATGGTGCTAGAAAACGAGCTACGTGAAAAACTTGGCGGAGCCATGCTGTGAAATTTGGGGTTTGTGGCTCCACTGAAATCATGTGGTCCTTTTCCCCAATTATCCAAACCCAGATGATATTAAACATTTTTCATTCCTAATCGAATTGAAACAGTACTAGGCCTAGTATTAGTAAATGGATCGCAAAAAGGTTTGTGCTCTTCAGCAAAACAAAAACAATTCATACACAAAAATTCCTGGATCCGCCCCTGCATGATGATCATATTCAAGGCATTCTCCAGTCTGGCTATTTAGTCTCTTTCATTTATCCCGAGTATTAATTGAGTCTTAAGATTTTCTGAAGTGTTGTCTTTTTACCTTTTCTTCAACAATGATGACTTTCTGGTCTGTTGAACTGCCTGGGCATCATCATGGATCCAGCCCCATCATTGCCAGCCTCGGCATTCTTTGGGGGGGGGGGGGGGGGACAGCTCCAGCTAGGGGGGCAAAAAACCCAATAAAAACACAAATGTATGTCACAGTTAGACTTTTGTGTGTGTGTGTTGTAGAAGAAAGGAAAACCATCTCCAGATTAAGAAGTGCCGTACCATTATACATTAACTTTTATTTTAAATTTTCTAACTTTTATTTTTATGCTTATTAAGAAGCACCCTCACAGACACCAAGGATGGATCCAGAATCTTTTTTTTTATTCCCGAGGCCACAGCCCACAGCATCCTCACGAGCGTCAGGCATTGTCTGCATGCGAATACGCTCCAATTTAACTTGCAATGGTCTCCTTGACTACTTCCCGACCCCAATAACTTTAGATCATTCGAAATCTGCAGTGGATGGACCAGGAACCAGTCTAGGTCTCCCCCAACTCCTTTTCTGGCCGTTGAAGGGGTACTTGCGCACAGAGCATAGGGCCTAGAGTACACTATTTTGGGATCTGCCAAGAATGTGGGGGGGGGGGGGGGAATTCCCCCCGTGGAAAAAGTTGGAATTTCAAGGGACAAAAGTAGGAATAGTAAGAGCAAGGTAAAAATAAAATGGCAAAAGAAGGAAAAGTAAGAATACTTACAAGCCTGCCTTTTTTCAATTCCAGACTTACGGTAGATGATTCAGGGCACCACCTGATCACTGTAGACCAATCACAGCACCTGATCACTGTAGACAAATCACAGCACCTGACCACTGTAGACGAATCGCGACACGTGATTACTGAAGACTCCTGTGGG